AATATCAGCAATATTCGTTTGGTTCGTATCGAATCGGCCAGAGTGAGTGAGCGCACGATAGGGATATCATGTGATGAATGAAACAGAAACAGGCATTATCCATACAATTGTAAACCTTATATTTAAGTCCATATGTCTGTAGATTATTCTTAGCGTATCAGCAGGATACAATTAAGGAAAGAAGTTTCAACTTTCGACCCTAACTTGAATGCAGTATAGCCTATTTGCATCGTTGAATTTAATTTCACGCGCTTTGACCTTGAACTAGAATTTTTGGACAAGTGTTTATAAATACTTAAGTTTTTTGTGTTTGATTTTTAAAGTACAGATTTTTCTATTTTTAGTTGAATCCAAATAATTGAGTTTATTTCTTGTGTTTGTATTAAACTTTTGAAATATACACTCTTTTGGTATATTTTGTAATTTTAAATTATGACACAAAATACTAAAAACTGAAAATAATGTAGCCAGTCCTAAGCCTGGTAAAAGCATGAAGGAAAGTTTTTTTGATATTTTTATTTTCATGTTCTTTTTATTACTTTAAGATCATATTATAAATTGATATCAGAAAACCAACCGTATAATGTTAGACTTAAATCTATATCTACTACGATATTATATCAGCGTATCGTTTCAAATCTCAAATATCATGAATCGAGAAAATCTACTAGCAGCCATCAATATATAGATTCAGAAAATATATAGATTCAATATCCGATATTGATCCTCGTATATAGATACGATTCGATACGCGGCAAAACCGATATTACCCACTCCTACCCACACGTGCAGACTCACAAGAGGTCCTACCACCACTAAAAAAATGAATGAATAATAGCTCTGTTTTTTTTTTACTTTAGGACATTTCGAACGGAAATGAGCGACAACTATTCAAAAAAGAACTATCTTGATCCTATCGTACATAGTAATGAAGAAGAAGTACGTAGCTTCTACGAAAATACATTAAGCAAACTAAGAACAAATATAACAGAGGAACATTCGGCGTATTTTAAGAAATACAAATCTGAAAACACACAGTACGGCTTGAGAAAACCAATTTGTTCTGTTCTTGATCAACACAAGGAAAAGAATAAAAAATTGGAACGAAAAAACGAACACTCATTTTAATATGTATTTTAAAATAGTTATTTATTGCTTGTAAAATTAAGGCATTGAAAATATTATGATGCTGTAATATACAATAAAAATGTTTTTTCTTTCTAATACCATTAAAGGTTTATTATGTAAATCAATCTTTCAAAGTAAAATCGTCGGTCTGGCATCGACGGTACACGTAGTGAATTTTCTCTGTGATATTCTTCTTGCTTTCACCGGGATCCGTTGCTATTTCTAGTGATTAGAGCCGTTACGAGATCATGCGAAATAAAATAGCTCACCGCTGTCGCTATGAAATCTGATAACCTCTTAAATATTAAGTGTATGATCTATGCATCTGCCCACGTATAGCAACAGGAAAGGTCTAATTTATTTTGATTGTCGATAAATTGAAACCTTTCAAAATGATATAGATGAACTACTTCGATTCATTTTTTTTAACGTCATGTTGTGTGGTGTGTCTGTGGTGTGACTAGTGGGTGACGTCATAAGATTTATTTTCGTCTATGCCGCGTCATTTTGACAATGACACATATCAAATTGGTTAGATATATTATTCTCTCTGAAAATGACAAACGCGGCCAACCGGAACCAAAACACAGTTCGTGCAAAATGTTCATTAAAACTAAATGGAAATAGTGTATATTCTTTTAATAGTGTCCTTAATTTGTTACTTATTATACTTAATACATCCATACTGGATATTGTTTCTGTCCATTGTAATGATCTATACAATGTACACACAATTCATTGTGATAAATTAACATGTTTTTTTTTAAAATCAAATGATCAAAATAACAATGGCTTTGCATAGTTGCAGGTAATTGCAGTATTGTTTCAGTAAAACATGAGACAACATCAAAACTGTTTTTTTGTATATTTTAAAGTAATTGAAATTCTATGTGCATTTCATTTTTAAAAAAATAGTTTTTTGAAGCCTAAATATAATATGTAAGTTGCAAATCAAACGTGAACTAAACACGTAAAATCAAGAATTTCTTTATAACGTACTAGATGGAAGAAATTCTTGAGGACGGTTTTTAACAGACAGTGAGTTTAAAAAATTGGTTTGGTTTTGTACTAGCATTAGATTTAACAGTGTTATTTATAGCACATTTTTACCAACGTTAGTCACTGAATGTAAAAAGAAACGCTACTGACGTAGTCAGATACTTCTATGACGAAACGTTATTTATATAAAGATAAACGATATTACTACCAATATTTTTACTAGCTACTACTGAAAGATACAACTGATTTAGTTAAGTGATTACGATCTTATAGACACCAGACCTTTAATGCTTTTTTATTGCTTAGATGGGTGGATGAGCTCACAGCCCACCTGATGTTATGTGGTCACTGGAGCCCATCGACATCTACAACGTACATACGCCACCCATCTTGAGATATAAGTTCTAAGTTCTCAGTATAGTTACAACGGCTGCCCAGCCCTTCAAACCGAAACGCATTACTGCTTCACGGCAGAAATAGGCAGGGCGGTGGTACCTACCCGTGCGGACTCACAAGAAGTTCTACCACCAGTAAATGCTGCAATAAAATATTAGGTTAAATTCTACGTTGCAGCTTATAACGACCATATCAACGGAACGCGCTTTTTAGCGTGTGTAGGGCGATTGATGCCAATGTAGACTCGTAAGATGCTCTATAATAAACAGTAAATATTATTGACCGTACTACCAGTCATCGTGGCCTAAGGGATAAGACGTCCGGTGCATTCGTGTTGAGCGATGCACCGGTGTTGGTACCTCAATTTTTCTAATGAAATACGTACTCAACAAATGTTCACGATTGACTTCCACGGTGAAGGAATAACACCGTGTAACAAAAATGAAACCCGCAAAGTTATAATTTGCGGGTTTCTGGTGGTAGGACCTCTTGTGAGTCCGCGCGGGTAGGTACCACCGCCCTGCCTATTTCTGCCGTGAAGCAGTAATGCGTTTCGGTTTGAGGGGTGGGGCAGCCGTTGTAACTATACTTGAGACCTTAGAACTTATATCTCAAGGTGGGTGGCGCATTTACGTCGTGCGTGTCTATGGGTTCCAGTAACCACTTAACATCAGGTGGGCTGTGAGCTCGTCAACCTACCTAAGCAATAAAAAAAAAAAAAGAATTACGTTGAAATATTTCGTTAAGTAGATAGATAAAGGTCAAATTAAGAGCGTGTTCCAAAATAACAACGGGATTAATCTGTAAATCAAATTTTATGCTTACAAAACCCCTAAAAAAATAAGTTTGCTGAGATTTTAAACTATCTTTACTTTAAACAATCCCAAAAAAAAATGGGAATGTAGAATCGAAGATGTTCAATGCAAGAACTACTAACACATTTAATATTGAATTATACTTGCCTACATCTTTATCGTTTAGTAATGGTTCAATGACTTTATTTACTCTTTCCGATATATACTTGAAGCGTTCATTACATTTTAGTTCGTGAATACATCGCACGCAGACAGTGCTGTACTAAACACGCGAGCACATGTACAAATAAAAATTGATTAGATTTAATATCAAACGAATCACGAACGTGGTGACATTGAGAAAATATGAAGTTTTTTGTAAATATTTACGTTATTTTGGCTGTTTTCTGTGTAGGAGTTGACGTGAAAAGAAAGGTAAGTTAATAATTTTGAATAACGAATAATTTTATTTTTAAATTAATTTTATAAATTTTTAAATTAATTTTCTAAATTTTTTAATTGCTATTTGTAGTCCTAGTATTTAAGAATTAAAAAAATGTATCTACGGTACGTTAACGGGACATTAAGTACGTTACCATGTGTTTATTAAACAGGGAAACCCCAGTTTTTGTCTCCATTGATCGGATAGTTAATAGATATTATAGGATCGTGAAATAATAATAGTTTATTAAAATTCAATGCTTAAATCTAAAATATTTAATCACACCCGTAACATTCTCTTGGTTAAGTCAAGAGATCGCATAAACTAGACTGGGTACATACATACTAATATTGATTTTCCAAGTGGCAAGGATGTTTCTTTTTCAATTCAACGAATTAGAATTACGACAGGATATCACTTTTAATGAAATATGTTTTTTTTTAATTTTCATTAATAAAATATAAAACAGACTAAAAATGTACTGTCAGAAATCAGGTATTTAAATGCTTACTATAAACTATTCTTTACATTTCCGCATCGAAAAGTCTGTAGGTGTAGGTCTTAGAAAGTAGAAACGGATAAGACAATTTAAAATACACGTAACAATAAATGAGTAAGAATAATTTTCCTATTTTGTCAAATTCATATTAAGCTGAACATAAAGGATTGGAATTGCTTAGCGCTGAATATGGCAATAAGACAATCATTAAGATATTTAAATTCGATAATTTTGATGATCTTTATCGCTTTAATATACTTATAGATTAGAAAGGTTGGTTACTCATTTTTGTTTGCGATTTTTCCAGACGCATGAGTCTAGATTTTACTATAATGATTCCAATAACAATATACTCATCTAATCTTTTGGGTAAAACGCGTGACTAAGGTCACAACAATTCATTAGTTGTTTTATTCAGAAAAATATGATTATTAAATCATTGAGAATTACATAGTAGTCAATTTGCTCACCGATACCGATGCTCACCGATGCTTAGTCTAATTAACCAATATAGAATTAACACCTTTTACGACCATAATGCTGTGTAAAAATTAGTTAAAATCAATATACATACATATGTTATATCAATAAAAAATGTAATCGTTCTTATACCATAGTCCATAACCTAGTTTTTATGAATACCTACCAATATAGCGTACCAAACAATGGCGACTATAAAGTCTTCCTAAATACCAGCTATTACAATATCAATATATCAGCAGGAAATTCGTCTTACTTGATATTTAAAATTAGTAACGCAAACCAATTAAACGAAATTTATTTCTATTTCTGATGCCTATTAGGTATACAACGGTCGGTGTTAACATAATTATGCATGTTGATTTTCTTAAAGATTGCTTAATAGTTTAGTAGAGGTAGACCATTGACTCGTTGGGAAGATGAGATTATCAGTACAGCCGGTCCAAACTGAAAAAAGATCGCACAGGATAGAGAAAATTGGGCATCTTTGGAGGAGGCCTTTACCCAATACGGGGTTTCTACATAAAACTACCAAAGTGTATTAAATTAATTAAGTGATCATACTTGTTAATAATTGTATACTGTAAAGTATTTAGTAGGAAATAAAAGGCTTATTATTATTATTATTAGTTTAGTACTAGTAAATGTATGGTAATTGCTACACTAGATGACGCGCAAGAGCGACAAGGTTATGTTGTTCGTTTAGCGTGAAAAATAAGTTTAATGCTCATTAAAAATATATGTATACAATTTAGTGAATTTAATTTAATTTAGAGGAAGCGGTAGGTAGACCTAAGAAGAATTGGATTAATTGCGTAAAAGAGGATATGTGTAAGAGGGGAGTGAGCGAAGAAATGGTATATGATAGAGGAGTATGGAAGGAGAAAACATGTTGCGCCGACCCCAGGTGACTGGGAGAAGGGCAGGAGAATGATGAATGATGATGTATACCATTTTTTGTCACTGAGTAATTTGTATTTTCAAATACGTCGATATCTACCGATCTATATTTCTGTTTAAATATATTACTTAAAAATAAAGATTATACAGCTAAAGATATTTCTTAACTATTCTTTTAGTCATTGATTTTTTTATTACGTGGTCATGATATATATATTCCCTCTTGCGTATTGATTTTCTATGATTACGTACTTATAAAGATATCCATGTAATTAGTTTTTATACCATTGGGCATTAAGAGATTTATTTGTTTGGCATGCGATTCATCAAAGTCTTTCAGATTTATACTATAAGCAAATCGTAAACATAATGGGATTAGTAAAAATTTAAATAATATGAGTACAAAACTAATGAATATGAAAATTTCAATGTCGCATTAGGAGACTACATTCTCACAGAGGTCAACATCTGATGTTATGTGGGGCAGTGAAAGTTGTCCTGTAGCTTAAATACATAAGCGCTAATTCCAACTTGATTTCGCACCTACATATTCAGATAGTATATGCGACTTTAAGACGCCCAATAGGTGTGTTTTTGTACCCAGAGATATGACTATGCTGGAATTCAAAACCCACATGGATTCCGGTAATTCTATGGAATACTCTTCCACGGTATTCTCTTCCTTATATGTTTTTATGTAATATAGCAAATATCTCATATAGCAAACTCATATGTTTTTAAGTAATCAAAATCACACGGCAAAACTAAAGCTTTAATCTAATAATTTCGGAGTAGGAATAAAAGGAAAATTCTAGATTATTGATACATCATCTACAGTAAGCTATGTATTTGTATTTTCGTGTTAGAGTTAAATGAAATGGAATCTTATTTTCCTTTTTTTTAGGTCCAACTTTCGGTGTTTTATGAAAGCGCTTGCTCTGACAGCAAAAACTTTATATTGAAGCAATTACATCCGACTATACATAAACTTGAGGACTATATCGACTTGCAGCTCATACCTTTTGGGAAGGCATCGGTTAGTATCAACATTCATAAAGTATTTAAAAGTATATTTATTAAGTATGAGATCCTGGTAAGAGAACCCGCTGCCAAAGATCGATAAGTTGCTCCGGCCAGATTCACACCAGATCAGTGTATGACGCGTTGCGTATCGTTGAAGACAAGGAGAAAAGGGGAAACATACATATAATCACGGCAGTAAGAAATTGCATATTCGTATTAAGCTATGTGACAATGCCTTTGTTCAAATCCCGGCAGGCGAGTACCAATTTTACTAATAAAATATGTACTTAGCACATACATTTCACGGTGAAGGAACGACATCATTTAATAAAAATCCGCAAAATTTAGAAATTTTTATTCTGGTTATTTCGGCTATATTTAACGAATATACAAAAATAGATTGGCATAATATTTTTATACAGTGAAACAAACTGTTTTTTTTATCCCGGGAAAAAACATAACATGTTTAATTCTTTTGGATCGAAATATTTCAGAGTATAAACAATGGTGGGGACGGATTCGAATGTCAACATGGACCGCCAGAATGCTTCGGGAACCTAATTCAAGATTGCACATTGAACGAAATGAAGTCATATTCAGACGTTCATAAAGTGGAATACCTGGCCTGTGAAATGGAAACAATGGCTAGTACTCGTGGAGACATACAGGTCATTCTCAATATTTATTGTGTTTTTGATATTTTTTTCCTAAAGTATTTTTTTTATTGCTTAAATGGGTGGATGAGCTCACAGCCCACCTGGTGTTAAGTGGTTAGTGCAGCCCATAGACATCTACCACGTAAATGCGCCACCCACCTTGAGATATAAGTTCTAAGGTCTCAGTATAGTTACAACGGCTGCCCAACCCTTCAAACCGAAACGCATTACTGCTACACAGCAGAAATAGGCAGGGTGGTGGTACCTACCCGCGTGGACTCACAAGAGTGCACACATTTTCTTTGTTGTTATTCTTCTAATTAATTTTGCTAAAGCACTCAAATCGATCTAGTTATTATAAGCTTTAATAGGTCCCGTTCGTTCACTAGCTCTGAGGTTACCAGTCTCGCTCGATCAACAAAAAAGTGAATAGAGCATTACATCAAGAACAAGGCATGTGAGCAAATGAGCTCGTATTGAGAAAATGTGTGCAAATCCTACGATCAAACATACATTAACAGCGTCGGCAATTTTCATAATTTATTCTTGAATTTCGATGTGCCCGTTGTAAATAAACCTTAAATTGTAATAAATATTGTTATAATGTACCTATTGTATGTATGTACCTAATATTGTTACGCGCTAGAGTTCGGGATAAATAAAATTCTACCGAATTACAAGTTAACACTGTATTCAACACTTAGAACACTTTAAACACTTTAAAATTCTCAATTCGCTTCTTCCGCTTCGCTTCAGATGATCCGTTCTCTGTTTCGCTTCGAGTAGTTCCGACTACTGACCGACTGTGTGCCATCTCTGCAATGCTTTTATAGCCGATAACCACATCCCTAGAATTATAGAGAATATTCCACACATTTCTAGTATTGTGTTTTCGCTGTCTGACAATAGATGGCGTTGTACTTCTCGAGCGTTCTAGGTGCTACTAGATCCTTCTATATTCGTTCGACTATTCGGCGATAGATGGCGTTACTCTTACCGGCGTAACAATATGATATGTTTATACCTCAAACAGGAATGCACTTACCACAGGACTATACACCACCCTTGGTTGACCGGTAGAGGCATTAAGTCCGTTATTCATCAAGTCATTGTACTTTTGTGCATAAAGTTGAATAAATAAATAAATTCGAAAATGATTTTATTTCAGTGCATAGTAAAATCGAATGTACCACATGATCCAGTTCGGGAATGCGTATACTTGGGTCCCGGAACATTGCTGCAACTCGATTCCGAACGCTTAACGAAACTCGTTAACCCAAAGTTCATACCCACTATCGTTTTGGACGGGGTAAGATACTGATTTAGTGTTTTTAAAAATTTTAATTAAAGTTGTAGATAAATGAAGAATGTTTAAGTGAACATAATTAACATAACTACTAATTAGGATTAACGTTGTTACCATCTCACTTATTGCCACCAATTCAGTATTCCAGTTGAAGAAAAAAGAAAATTAATTCGATACAATTTGAGACTGTGACCTCATACGCTATCACCACACAGTACGTTATTATAAATGAGATAATAAAAACGGGCACTGATTTTCTTGTATAGGCGCGGGAAACACATATGAGACATCCAGGCCTAAATCTGAAATATAATTTTTATAATACTATCTGATATTCTCGTGTCAACATAGATTACGGTATTACTCAATCAACATCACTTTTATCGCTAAATTTTAAATTTTCTTTTCCATTTCAGGTCTTCGATCAGGCAACACAAAACAAGGCTTTTAATGATTTAATGGGCACTATTTGTGATAGACTGAGAAACGTCAAGCCCTGTAAAGAATATTTTAGGAACAAATAATGATTATAAATAGTACAGCGTAAAATGAAGCGACCTTAAAAACTAAACACTGTTGTTACCTTGGCTGTGTTGTGGTTGTATTTACATTTTACAATAAAATATTTTATATACTTCACTTGATATTAAAGTAAAAAGTGCAGTTTATTTTTTTTAAATCTGAAGTTTTTAACTTAAAACAATATTCGGACTTTTTAATTATATATATTGTAATTAGAACTCTTACAGACACTTAATCATGCATACCGTCGTTGTCAAACCAAAATCGGCTATGTATACTTTTTGAGATTTTTACTTTTTGACTGTTTCGTATAGTTCACAGCCCTATCTACCGTATAAAAAAACTGTTAATTGTTTAACATTTATCTATAGCTTTTATTTGATATAGTTCTTAAAAATTTACCTCTAAATAAGATTTTACACGAAAATGTTTTTACACGTTAATTCAAAATAGAGTTTTTGCACATAGCAGATTTTTGTTTCACAGCGACGATACATTAAAATTCCTTATTTACTAAAAGCAATTTCGTTCCCGATCTCTGTACCGAATATAGTACATATTCAAATCCATCATGATCTTATAACTCTACGTAAATACCCAATTAAAATTATATCGAAAGAAAATCTGCAATCGTTCTCCAATTTTATCACTGATTAAATTTAATCTTTATTTATCAAAGCATCTTATCAACCGAAGAGTTACTTTGGACCTATTGAAACTGAATATAAGTGCCAATACGATATTATCTGTTATAAATAAAACGAATTTTTTTTTTATAAATTTCGTATATTTTCCTTTAAGAGGGTGAGTTTTCTACGATCCATCGATAATAATGAGCAATGTTTGTATACACGCTGGGTACGCCGTCGCTGCCGCAGTTTTCGGAGCCAAATGACACGATTCCCGTCTGAAAATGTTATACATGTATTTAATTTTAAATGCCTTCATCCAAAATTTAACCGCATACTAAAAACTTTACAAATATTTTAACCGAATCTGCCAACCAAATTGAATCGCGTCCCGCTCGTAAGATCGGCGCTAAGCCGGCCTGTTAAAGGGTGTTTTTTTTTCATTGCTTAAGTTGGTGGACGAGCTCACAGCCCACCTGGTGTTAAGCGGTTACTGGAGCCCATAGACGTCTACAACGTAAATATCGCCACCCACCTTGAGACATAAGTTCTAAGGTCTCAGTATAGTTATAGCAGCTGCTCCGCCCTTCAAACCAAAACGCATTACTGCTTCACGGCAGAAATAGGCAGGGTGGTGGTACCCACCCGTGCGGACTCACAAGACGTCCTACCACCAGGAATAGAGTCCCGTTTAAACTCTTCAACCAGTCTGACTAATACGGTGACCTGTGCTTTGGCTACTGCTAGCATTAGAACTATGTAGTAGAATCCAACAGCACCGAAAATAGATCTGGTGGATCTGGGCTGATATTTTTTTCCCTACCTATTCGCTGGTAGCTTAAGAGCTATTCCAGTTAAGGTCTGGCTGCTTGGTGAGCCCACGGATTCAACCTGAGAGAATTTGCTAAAACTAATCCTAGCAAGAGCAGTGCTTCGCATAATCTACGACCGGAACGGAATCGCGACCGACTGCGAAGATCCGGCAAGAAACTCAGGGGGCTGTGTTTAAGGGTTACTTTATTCGTCGAGCCCTTCGTCGCAAGCGACGGGTTTGGCGAGGACGGTGACCGGTGCTCCCGGGAGCGGGAGAGGGAGGATCCGTATTGACGTGTTGGGGGCGACGTCGACAGTTTACCATTCGGTCCACAGAATCGGGTATGTAATTTCCGGCGGCCACGACAAAAGGGTTTTCGTGTCGTATCACCTTAAGAAGGATATATCGCCTTGCAACGCTTTTTCGAGGTAACATTCTGACGCTTCCTTAAGATACTTTCAGGCATGAAGTTAGCGGCGGGTATATTATAAGTGGATTATCGTGCCGTATCGCTGTAGATAATAATTTATGCTACAGACATTTCATATAGATAACTATTATTAAAATAAAAGTGAAGCACTTCGAATTCAGCAAAATTATCAAATCAACCTGAAGAAATTTTCCGTCACGTTTGATGAGTAGTGGTGCTCCTCCGAATCCAGAACAGGCATCCTTTCCTTCTTCACCGCCCGCACACAGCTGCCCCTCGTGTACTGGCACGGATTCGCCAAATACTTTTTCACATTTTTCTAGAGGAACAAGAGGCACTTCTAGTAGCTGCTGGCGGCTAACCTGTAATATGAACAACAATAAATTACAAAAAAAAAAGATAATTTTTTTTTACTGCTTAGATGGGTGGACGAGCTCACAGCCCACCTGGTTTTAAGTGGTTACTGGAGCCCATAGACATCTACGACATAAATGCGCCACCCACCTTGAGATATAAGTCCTAAGATCTCAAATATAGTTCCAACGGCTACCCCAAACCGAAACGCATTACTGCTGCACGGCAGAAATAGGCAGGGTAGTGGTACCTACCCGCGTGGACTCACAAGAGGTCCTACCACCAGTAATAAAACAAATAAACAGAACAGACAAACAGATTAAAACAAATAATTCTTAATTCAAATCAGTAACAATGATGAAGAACGTATGTTCGTTTAAGTCTGTCTTCTTTTTATGAAATAAAAATTTCCAAGGTGTGTGTTCGCAGTAAAATACATGGGATTTCAAGTCATTAAATCGTGAATTTACACCGTACACATTATTATTTGATGGAATAATTTAAATATCAAACAGACAATACCACATTAGTCTGACCGGACAGTTTCCCCCAACCGACCAGTGATGCGCGTTCGTTTATTACAACTTCCGGTTTTTCATTCAGGCAAACTGGTGCTGCTGTCACTGAAAAAAAATTAAAATTTGTCACCAACATTCAAATGTCAGTCAGTCGAAACCTCAAGGGCGAGGCCATGACGTTCTGCCCCGTTCATTGGATGTACTTTGGCTTGAATGAATTAAGGATTTTAATTTTACCGTGATTGGGTAGATGCATTATTGATTCATTGGATATGCGATGTGATTACCGTGGCTTATTATAAACAAATAGGAGAGCCAGGAATACGATAGTATTTTTTACTTTTTTTTTTTTTTTTATTATAATAATTTTTTAGCAAGATTCTAAAAGGGTCTTGATAAAAAGCAACCGGTTTATAGAAAACCAGCTAACCCAGCTAGATACCCTGGGGATACGAATAACGGGCTTACGATATGGATCTACGGACCGAGAGGCGTGGTGATCGTAGAAGCAGGGGGTGGCGAGAGAGATCACACGTTAACTTGCTCTACGTATGCCTCGGTTGGTGTTTGCCTCCTTACCAAAAAAACTGGAGTCTAATAGTTCCTATAGTATATAGATATGAATCGACTGTGTCGTAAATGACGACCCATCTTGAATTTCAACACGTTTTCCCTTCATCCTTAGAAGTCGTTCGTGACGAACACGTCTTAGATTACCCGTTTTCTTGTATCGGCCATGCTTACCTCAAACTATAATTACAGTGTAATATTTACCGGAATACTTGATTTCATCTTTCAACAAGATGAGTGCAATGTCGTGCCGGAAAATCTTTTCCTCGTAACCAGGGTGCACAACAACGCTTTCAACTTTTATTGCTTGCGTGGGAGGGGCGCAGAAGAAATCGTTACAGTCAGGACTGCGTCCAATATCCCATTCGCCCACTACCACCGTAGACCTATAAAACATATTATTCAAGGATTGAAAACAAAACATTTCTCTCCAGTCCACTTGGACTATAATAAAAGAAAGAAATACCATAATAAAAGTGTCCACACGTCGGATTAGTTAAAATGAATATAAAAGTTTGGCATAATGACATAGGAGAAGACTAGACCAAACTTTCTGAATGTTTTTTTGTTAGTTACTGGCTGACATGAAGCGATTGCCCGGAAATCCTTCCAGCTTGACCAGGACGCGTAAGCGGGGAGGCGGAAGATTGGGATTTCCAATCGTCAACCCAACGCGAACCCAAGTGTCTACGAAGGAGATTTAACACCTATAAGGAAGCTGCTACGCAAGTACATCTACTACTAGATCGAATCGCGATTTGTAGAGAGATTCGGCCAGAAACTCAACAAGCTGATGGTATGGGCTAAGTGTCATATCGAAATCTCTTGAACGAGTTTGACGAGTACGACGTCCTGTGTTATACATGCTCCTGTTATTAGAACTAGAGTCGTCGAGCAGCGCTGAGAATATATCGGGTAGATCCATCAAGATGTATACAGAGCGACCACTGTGCCCAGCTGCGATGAGATGGCACAGTAGTGTAATTTGAGATGCTCGCGATAAGAGGATTATAGTGTCAAGTGTGCATATTAGATGGATATAATAGTATGTAGATGTCGTGCAAATAGTTTGATCAAATTATCTACAGTCAGAGCAAAGCGTGGCCAGTTTCACAGTTTTCCAATGTCAATAAAACTGTAAATATAAAATTAAAGATGTTGCGTGACGTTATAACTTACAATTTGTATCTTTCTGGTTTGGCCAAAGCACAGTGCGCCGCAGTTAATACAACTCGCTTCGATATTATAGATCCACTGCAAGCGAATCTAACATTGCCCGTTTCTTCTTCTGCAATAAACACCAAAATATATGATTACTTTTAAATTTTTCAGTCACCCTATCTACATCTATATTCAGACGAACTCAGGTCTATCTATTATTAAATAGTTACTGAAACCCGTCATAACCTGAATATCTGAGCCACAAGGTATAAAATCTAATTGTAAACATAAATTTCAAAATACAAGTAGTTATATTGATGACTTAAAAATAATTTTGAAATTTCGTCATCAAATTAGATAGCTCCTCCATCTTCAAACATCTATGTTTCCTGATTATGAGATATTCAAATATATTTACATAAATTTGTGGATCGGTTTCCGTATTTACAGTAAATCCTATAAAGGCTTCTATTTTTTCCCATTCTGTTGGGTCTTTGGTGAATCTTGCCCATGTTATTCACGGGATCCTCTCTCAATAGTGATAACAACTTCTCATATTAAATATACTAAACTAATTCCACTTACTAGTGAAACCAATTCTGGCCACCCAAGGATGTGTGCCGATTCCGTCATAATCAACTCCTCGTACCATACTCTCGCCACACGATTGCGTGCCTTCCTGGTAGACTCGGCCGCAGTCACACGACGGACAGCAAACGTAGTCTTCGTTATTGTCATTACCACACGTTAGTTGATTTAAACGATGAAAGTATCTGTGTTTAAAACATATTAGAAGAACTTCAATAAAGAGTAGAGCTTAATTCAAAAGTATTATTTTATGGTCTTCTCAAAACAGAAAACCTTAAGTTCCTTCTCGAATTCGCTGTCTTTTGATAGGTCCCGCAATTTTGGGCGGGGTTGTTGAAATTATTTGTAAAGCTTTCAATAAATGCACTGTCTGCTTTCAGTGTCAAAAGAAAGGTCGAAGACAAATGTGGAGTATACAAGCCCAATAGCTACTACCACGTCCCATTAAAATGAGCTATAACAGAGAAAAACAAGCCTTCTAAGGATTATTTATCGAGTATATTTAACGATGTATTTCCAAAAACTTTTTTTTATTGCTTACTTGGGTGGACTAGCTCACAGTCCACCTGGTGTTAAGTGGTTACTGGAGCCCAGAGATATCTACAAAGTAAATGCGCCACCCACTATTTCATTAGAAAAATTGACATGTTATTTTTTAGATAGAGGCAACTGACAATTTGAATGTTTACTTACTTATCCGATGAAAAGCACGAGAAATCGAGTAGATCTTCAAGCATCGGACACGAGCTGATTGGCACACAAGATGTATTCGGTGGACAAGGCGCCTAAAATTATCGCAAATAATCATTCATAAATATAAAAAAAAAAATCTAATGGATTGTTGGAAGAGTCTTATTCCAACGGATAGATTTTATGTATTAATGTATTTTACAAGAAATACACGACAGTTTGATTGTATTCTAATAATAAAATCAAAAATATTAAATTTAAATAAAAGCTAATAAATTCTGCGTAAACAATTACTGGACTCAGTATTATACTGGGGTCCCTCGACCCCAAAACTTGAATTGACGATTATTCATAGCTGTCATAAGATACTACCGAACTACAATGAAATAGCCATCGAAAACGTATTTATAAAGGATGTTAATTAAATTAAACTGGTCTATTGTGTTAATTAATTTCACAGAATCGAGAATTTCAAAAGTTTTAAGAACATCAAATCGTAACGTATTAAGTCAAAGTATGTGGGTACCAATCGATTTGTATTATTAGTTCATTTATGGTTATCTCGTCCTCTATTTGGCCCCAAATAACTTCTTATGTAATGGTGTTACATTAATTTGGTTTGCCCGGTAATTTATAAAAACATGAGTCGGCCTGTTTGAAGTTTTTGTCTTTAAGTAAATAATGTATCGTGATAAAAAATATTAATACAAGATTTTAGTCTTACTCTCACGCTTAGATTTTCATTGTCGCTTCTAATTCCTCCCATGCCAACACTCACTGATATACCTGAAAATAATTTTACAAGAAACATAGTCAAACACTTTGAAGTTTGTTATTAAATTGCTTTAGATGATTGGAAGTGTTCCCATCGCAATTTGAAAGGCCCGTCTTATTTGGTTCCCGATTGGTGTCCGAGTGAATTAATGATTTTAATTCAAATACCATAAAATGAATTAATTTTATTACGGAATCAATACTATTTTATAAACAAAACTAAATGTATTACAACACATAATTTTATTAAACTTACACTCGTAGATATTGTTGTCGTAATGAATATTTCAATAAAGAACCGGCCAGAAACTAATCTGTTTAACTAAATTTAAATGTACTCTGAAATCGGATTATGTAGGTACACTACATATGATACAAACGATCGTAAATGACCTTGCTACTAGATTTTATCATGATTCCACCAAATCGAGGCTATCCATTGTGACATGTGCAATTATTGACATCGCATGCACTTAAATAATTGGCTCATAATACTGGATGTAAATTATTCACAATAATGCATTCGCAGTCGGTTCTACTTGTATCGAGTGATACGGATTTTTTTTTTATTGCTTAAATGGATGGACGAGCTCACAGCCCACCTGGTATTAAGTGGTTACTGGAGCCCATAGACATCTACAACGTAAATGCGCCACCCACCTTGAGATATAAGTTCTAAGGTCTCAAGTATAGCTACAACGGTTGCCCTACCCTTCAAACCGAAACGCATTACTGCTTCACGGCAGAAATAGGCAGGGTGGTGGTACCTACCCGCGCGGACTCACAAGAGGTCTACCACCAGTAAAATTATTACGGGGATATTACGGGGCTGAGATCCTAAAGCAGGTTAAAATATTCAAAATAAACACATACTTACGAGTCACGTCCACGAATAAAATAACAACTATATAACATTTTTAGTTTTGAATTTACTATACGATATATTTTTTATAGTGGATAACTTAGAATAATCACATACACTTATGGCACATGTGTCTTACCCCCTAACTCTCTGTAGCTTCACATATTATAATTATTAATTCACTTTCATTCATTTAAAACTTAAAATAAACATGAACGAATATCACCGATTTATCAGCTTTTAGATAATTTACGTGCAAAAAAACCCTCTTTCGACTTACCCATTACACTGTCAAATCATTGTAACGCACAATATGAATTTTATCTATATTAACCCTAAAACTTTAATCTTCTTCTCCTTCTTCCTAGCATTTTCCCGGTCTAGTGCTAGGGTCCGATTTACTACTTAAAGTACTACTCCTACTCAGGGTGAGGCTATTCTCCTTCATATCCGCTTTTACCACATCCATAAAACAAACATAAAATTTTAATATTTCAATTAAAATACTCACTGCCGAATTGCGCTAAAACGGACCATTCCAAAATGCACATCAAAAACAGAACACGTACCATTACACCCATTTTTGAACGAAAATTATTTTTAGAATATTTTTTTTATATTTATTATTATTCAAATTAGTTCAATTCCAGACATGTTTTAATTGTAATACGCGAGAACGACGCGGCGGCTGCGTTGGCCCACAACAATAATGATACGGTACAAAGCCTTCGTTTCGGACAACGTTGACCAGGGTTCGTAAACTTTTGGCATTTTATTTACGTTTTATGATTACTACATACACTATTTAATAAATTTTTATTGCATAGATTCATGAACGAGTTCACGAGTCACATACCACTTTTAAAGAGTTTGTAAGTTACTTTGAAAACTGAGAAACTACAACTTTATTATTAGTATTTTTTTGACCGCAAAAATTGCTGTAATCGTTATATATAATTACTAAGCAATTGAGACATATAAAAGCGATTAACTTTAATACAATTAAAACTTTACTGGTGGTAGAAAGTCTTGTGAGTCCGCACGGGTAGGTACCACTACCCTGCCCATTTCTGCCGTGAAGCAGTAATGCGTTTCGGTTTGAAGGGTGGGGCAGCCGTTGTATTGTAAAAATAGATCTTAAAACTCGTATCTCAAGGTGGGAATTCATGTTGTGCTGTCTATGGACTCTGGCAACAACTTAACACCAGGTAGGCCGTGATTTCGTCAATCCATCAAAGCAATAAAAAATAAAAAAGACAAACGTTATTATAATAAAATTAAGACTTCGCGCCTTAAGGTAGATACAATATTCATTTAAGTCTATAAATTGCCACAATCATATTCTATATTTTTTTCTGATTATGAACTTCCGATTGGTCATCAGATAGAAACGTCAACATTTTTTCGTTTGTTAAAATATTACAAATTGTTGACCACATCTGTATCATATTGATTCACCGCTATAAGCGTTGGCTTCAGATTGATGCAAACGTTAACACCTATACACGTTATTGTTTTCGTACACGCAAGTAGAAAAGCGTGAGGAGCCCGTTATTTTACTTTATTTGTAATTGAGATATTAACGTACGCCCTCGTTTAATAGGTAAATACTTATAGGGAAATAAAATTAAAACAGATGATGACCGAGCTTTGCTCGGCTTTTTTTTATAACGCCATCTTGTTGTGTCTTTTAAGCAGTAAAAATAGTATTATTATTCGCCAATAGATGTCGGGAAGAGCCATAAAATTGATTATCGATAAAGTTGATTATTGAAAACACGAATAAAACAACATTTTCTGAAAACAAATCGTAGCTAGATCGATTTATCGCCCCCGAAATCCCCTGTATACCAAATTTTATAAAAATCATTGGAGCCGTTTCCGAGATTCAGATTATATATAGGTATAAGAGAATCATTTGTTGAAAAATTCACTGAAATCAGCCTACTCAAGTTTCAAGTGATAAATCATAAAATGACTTTGTTAGAGATTATGAGGTAATCTGCTGTCTCTTTCTAGCAACGCAAACTAGCTCTAGCAACTAGCAATACATTTACAGTTGAATGTTGACGTCATTGTACAAATTAGTGTACTTTCGATACGAGTTAACGTTAGGAACTTCCTTTTATAAAAAATACATTTTCAGTAATGTATTTTAACATAAATTTAACTCTTAAAAGACTCACAAGAAATCTCAATTAATGCGTAGCTTAAATTTAGTTAAAATTCTTATTATATTTTATTGTTTTAGTTAAAATTTAAATCTTTATTTATTTATAAATCAAACTAAACTCTATTAATGCTATTAAACAAATCAGACTGCTTAAAAATTCATAAACAAATAAGAATACATGTTAGAAGATTAAATAACTTTACTCACAATAAATATTTATTACAATACAACAAATACAGTTTTATAAATGCGCATCTTAGACCTGAACTGGAGATACGAAAATTTAAAATTCAACAAAAGAAAAGCGTTAAATATTTATATAGAAATTTTCGTTCTCAAAATCTAATCATCAAATCAAATCATACATTCGGACGACTTCAAAAAGCATGATATTATTGTAATGTCCTTTCACTTATAATTTTGAATAATCGGTTTAATATTTACCGAATAAAATGAAAACTTTAGTTAAGCACACACGAACCGCGGTCGGTAATCTTTGCGAATCAGTTTTTGTTACATTCATATTGTTGTAGATTTTTTATGTGGCTGGATGTCATTCACATTATTGCCCAACCGTGGGAATCAAATTTTGAGTGCTAAATATTTTTAATTTGATTAGTAATAAAAAAGCACATTGCGCTTGTAATTTTGATTGAGCATTTGCGTAATTGACCATTAAGTGCTTGTATAATATTAAAATGAGTAGTTAAAGTATTCTAATATTGCAGTATCAATATAAAAATTACAAATTAAAATAAATGAGACATCGACAAAATCGGATAAATCTAAGGCATGAACAAACAATTTTTATTGGTAAACATTACAGTGAAATCTCTGATTGTACTTTTTATATCTCGCTGATTTTAATATTATTTAATAGATAAATTCTAAAAAAGTAATACTTAAAAACTAATAAAGTTTCCCGCCATTTTTCTATTTTTCTTCTGTACGTGAAAATAAGTGAATTTAACGAAGAAATTCGATACATTTTGAAGTTTTGTTACAAAACAAGAAAAAATGCGACTCGTGATGCGAAAAAGAAAGCTATTATATGGAAGCTTTTCATTTTAAAGGCTATTGCGGGACTAAAACAGTGTTTGGTGATCAAGGGGTCAAGTAAGAAACCTTAGTAACGACAAAGAAAAGTTCTTCCATCGAGCGGGTGAGATTCCGGCAGACCGAGAATCCGGAATGTATCTTGAAAATGTCGCTATCGAGATTCAGGGATCTGCCAGATATCATCAGATAGCTACCCGTTACCAGGACAAGAAGCTAATGAAGAATTAGGACAACGGTGGTGGTTTATACTCGTACACAGTGAAACACCGGTTTTGTTTTTTGTATTTCAAAACTAATATATATTTATTAATTATTAATATTAATATAAATTTATTAAGTAACTTTTGTGTCTACATTTATGTAGCTACTATTATAATAGGTTAGGGAAAAAGTTTCTTCGCATTTTTTAAGAAAATTCACAACATTTTTTAATGTTTTTTATTTACATTTAACTAAAGTACGTTGGTACCATTTTGTTCGATAACTTTTTGCCATCTTGTAGGTTGGGACATGATCCCTTTGCTATAGAAATTTTGGGGCTTCTGGAGATTGAAAACGCTTAAACCAAAGTGCTACTCTCACAGACACTGCACTGGGTCCATAAACATCGCAAATTTTTTTCGCGGCTTGCGTTGCATTTTTACCTTTTTTTTCTTCGTTAGATTCACTCATCTTGACAGTACGAAAAATAAATAAAAATCACACATTAAAATTTTCCTAATTCGAATTTGGAATTATCTACTGTAAAATTTAAACTTTTATTGAATAACTATAATGCGAAAAGACTTTTTCCCCAACCTATTTTATACTAGTTGTTTAATTGTCTATTTATGATACAAGAGCTCGACTTCAAGTCTCAAGGAAGGTTGTGATCTTCACGGAATCTGGTAATCACTTAAAACCACGCCATACAAATGTGTTCTACTCTGATATAAAATCGATACAAAACATTTTTAATCCAATATTATAGCGAATGTACCATAACCGTGACTGCTTTGATGGCAAGACATGTCAAATCTGAATTTGTTCCGTATTAAATTAATACAGTATGCTTATTATTCAATAATGTATTTTTAATTTATATTTATTTGTATTTTTATCACTGGTGGTAGGACCCCTTGGGAGTCCGTACGGGTAGGTACCACCACCCCGCCTATTTCCGCCGTGAAGTGGTAATGCGTTTCGGTTCGAAGGGTGGGGTAGCCGTTGTAAATAAACTGAGACCTTAGAACTTATATCTCAAGGTGGGTGGCGCATTTACGTTGTAGATGTCTATGGGCTCCAGTAACCACTTAACACCAGGTGGGCTGTGAGATCGTCCACCCATCTAAGCAATAAAAAAATAAATAATAATAATTGCTATTTTAAATAAATAACTATTAAATTTAACGATTCCAAGCTACGGTCTTCTGCTTTGTTTTCGGTGCATACATAAAACATACATATACACCGCAAAAACCAAATATATTTCACTGTGAGACCGATTCTGGCTGAAGATCGAGCCTGGAGTATAACGGTATTTACAGGCAACTCAGTTCTATTTCTTAACATGAGTGTATTTCGATTTAAAGTGTAGGATAACCGCAATATAACCGTTAAGCACTCAATGAACATCCCTTAGCATGAAATAATTAAAACTTCTAAAGTTTAATAGATTCTTGTGAAACAAAAAAAAAACTGTATGAAAGAACTTAGACATTCGTGACACGTTGTTGGACATGGTATCAGCATTACCTCTATTTTGCGAAACAATTATACTCGTAGTATATAATTGTTGTGAGAGGGTGATGTCTACGCATCCTGATGATATTAATTGGACTTGAATGCCCGCATAAAAATAAAAATAAAGACACACATGAACAATGTTTTGAATAAAATAAACATCATGTTTTTGTGATTTAATAAAGGCTGACTTATTAATAGTTAATATAACTATTTAAATTCAACAGTATTTATTTATTTTGGATTTCAAACGTAATATAAAGCCTTAAGGCAGTCCCAAAAAGACATACCCTTGAGAAGAACTTACAAAAGCAAGTCAAAGGGCTATATTTTTTTTATAAAATTCTTCTATTTAGTATGTTATCAAAATAATTACAAACACACATATTCAATTACAATGATAAGTAAAATTTTAAAAGCCCATAAATTTAAAATAAAAACAACATTGCCACGGATAGCTTAGTTTTTAATCCATTAAGTACTCAATCGAAACCGCGCAGACACATCCGCCGGGGCCAGTTACTAGTCTGTATTAACAATACGATACAACATTGTTTCTAATGCAAACGCAGGAAAAATGACTTCCTAATCAGATAATGAGGTAATTATAGTATTTTGGACACGGTCTGCTTTTGTACATTGACCTTTTTATGTGGTCAGTGACGTTAGATTATTGAATTTTTAAAAAGCCCCTTTAGAAAATATTAATTATCATCATTTTAGGCCTTACAGCCCAGGGTGGGCCTTAACCTGGTCCAGTATGTCTCTCCAGACTACTCTGTTCAGGGCTTTCTCCTTCCAGTTCTTAACACCGATATCTTTGAGGTCATCTAACCATTAAAGCTTGGACTTGCCACGACTTCTGCGGCCCTCTGGTTTGCCATATAGTAGTTGTCTTGACATTTTGGTCTCCTTCGTTCGCACTAGATGTAGCCCATCGTAGGCGTCCAATTTTTATAGTTTTATGATATTAGGATATTTGTAAATATCATACAACTCGTGGGTTATAGCGTGGATATATATATTCATGGCCTTCTTAAATTTATAACTAAACATAACCGGAACAAAAATTGAAAGAACATTAAAGTATATTTAAGACAACATTAAATTGTTATTGTATTATACCAGTGTGTCGTAATTCCGATCCGGTGGTAGATTCTACGAAGCACTGTTCTTTCTGGGGCTAGTGTTAGCAAATTCTTTCAGGTTGAGCCCGTGAGCTCACTCACCCATCCGTGCATAGCTGGAGGAGCCCGTTAGGCCACCAGCGAATAAGAAGAGAAAAATATAGAGCTTTATTGATTAAAGTGGTTATTTTAAAATAAATCCAAAAAATACTAGAGCTCTTTAAAAATATGTGTGGTGTCGTGGGACACCGGATAGGAACGAAGTTCCTTATTACAAAAATATTAATTTTAAGTTCTATTCGAGGTATAAAGAAAATAAATCTGGAGGTTTCGCAACAACCAACGCATTCGGTAACGTTCGAACTTATTGTGGTACACTTCATTCACGGTTGCTTGCTTATGAGTTAGTGTATTGCGCAAACGAACGCTCTGAGATCGTGGTCAATGAATAATAAAAAAATGTTACATGTACTATGTTAGTCGTACACTGTGTGCATTACTTATTTGTACGTTATTACAAAGTTAAGTCGTACACTGTGTACATTACTAATAAAAATCATACGTTACCGACGTTTTTTCCCGATTAGGGTACCCCTCCGCATCGTCCCATAAGGAACTTCATTCTAACAATGCTGTCCATGATGTTATGGGCTAATAGTTAAAATAACAATTCTATTTATACTTTCTTTAAACTAAAAGAAGTCAAGAATATGTTACATCCTATTTATTAAAGAAAAAAGAAATATACATACCTGACCAACCATTAAACTGTCAAAATTTATTAAGTTGTAAAAGAAACAAAATATTTTTTTCGACTGTCTTGTCTGTCATGTGCCAATTAATGTAGGAAAATGGCCAAAAAATCTGGTGTGAATTTTATGTTAACGTAGTACTAACATACTGATAAAGGTTCGTATCGCGAAATCGAAAATTCTTCTTTGTTACTATCATAGAAACTGTGCGTTGCTGTAAAATGTAGTTATTTATTGCAGATGCGATCAACCTAACGCGTGACATCTTAAAATAATCTCCAAATTGTCGAATGAAGCTATCAAATATGAAACTGAAAAGTAGCTTATCAGAACAAAATGTGTATTTAACGTACGTGTGTCTCATCAGTGATATACGGCCAAGCTGTAATACTAGGGATTCAGGACAGAATAAACCTTCATTTAATTTTGTGAACAACGAACAAGAAAACGTTAGTATCAGCGTTGAAAATAATATAATTTTACATTTTGATCCCTCCTCCACTACTGATTAGTTAAATGTCAATTTCAATTAGAAAGAGGCTGATTGCGAAGACGAACCAATTTTAGTAGAACGTTCAAAGGCGCTGCACGAACTAATTGTGTCCAAAAAAAAGTCGCCAAACGATAACAATGGATTTAAACAGAAGAATGAAACGGAACCAGCGGCCAATGTAAGTAAAAAATAAGAGCCTGAGGAAACGAAATAAAATAAGACGAACGATGAATTATTATCGAATTTTTCATAAAAAATATTTTTTACAGTCAAGAACAAATCGATCTGAGAGCACAAGTAATTTAATAGAAAATGAAGAAAATAATTTCCTTGGTTTTGACAACCCAAATATACTTAAATTAACAAAGATGAAATGGCTCTCTGAGAACAACGATGAAGCGCTTGATTCTAGGTCAGTTCTATGCCAAATCAAAAAACCAACGCCTGCCTATCATACTTAACTCAATATAGAAGTACACAATATCGAGATTCTGTTATTGCAGAAAATTCAACGCACCAACCGGTGCAAGATTAAAAGGCAAAAGAAGAGGGTCATCTTGTAATATTCGTAACATAAAACAATAACAATTACGATGAACACAAACAAATACATATTTTAAGTCGTGTATATATAAGAGCACGGTGTGAATTTTCATACTAAGTAGTAGTACTGTTAAATAATACTTTGAAGACTGTTTCTAAAGCACCAAATTTATTGGTGGTAGGACCTCTTATGAGTCCGCACGGGTAGGTACCACCACCCCGCCTATTTCTGCCGTGAAGCAGTAATGTGTTTCGGCTTGAAGGGTGGGGCAGCCGTTGTAACTATACTGAGACCTTAGAACTTCTATCTCAAGGTGGGTGGCGCATTTACGTTGTAGATGTCTATGGGCTCCAGTAAGCACTCAACACTAGGTGGGCTGTGAGGCCGTCCACCCATATAAGCAATAAAAAAAATATGGATTAATTCAAAATTTAACGCAGCTCTCCTTCCCCATCACCTTCATCGAGTACCTGTTCAAGCGGTCACTCACAAGATAATTTAAACAGAAGCCTTAGTACCAGCGACAAGTATTTATCAACCATAATACAATTGGATAAGGAACATAATATGTTTGGTTTATCAAACATTGCCATAGTCGGTACAAGACCTTCGAAGAAAATAAAAAAAGATGATGACAAACCAGCTTTTCCTCAAACGGCTATCGTGCAGGTTTGCTGCGGCATGAAATGCTGCAAGCACAAGGTTTGTTTATTGCAACATGTTAAAATAATCTAAAATCTCATTCGACTAGAATAAAATGTTAATTAATTAGAATTAAGTGAACGAATAACAAGCGTTCTCAATATGCACACAATAAAGAGAGGGGGGTCAGTCGACTCGAGGTAAGGCAGTGGGCGGCGCGCTGCTCTAAGGCGCCGACTATCTAGATACTCCTCAAAGGGGTAGGACATACTTAGTATCTCAGCTGTAATCTCACAAACCCCGTTATATGCGTAATGCTAAGTCACCTACGAGATCGACGCGTAGTAATCTGACGAAGCATGTTGCGGATAATAACATGTACTTTTGGGTTGGGAGTATTGTGTTCTTTTTTTTTTATAATAAAGAGAAAGAGAGAGACTCAGGTCATGAAAGTATTTCTTGCAACCAGGGTGTGAAAAACATTCTAAAGCTGTAACTGAAGAGAAGTGAACTCTGTAGGATGAATCTCCAAATAGATCAGATCTTTTTAAATTAAACCCCACCAGAGATTCACTGTAAGGTTTTTCGTTATTGTTTCACAGTCCCAAAGGATCAATAGTTCTATGTAGAGCCGGTATTTAAATAAATATAGAATTATGATGGGAAATAAATATGTACATTACTTACACGATTAAATTTTACACTTACAATGTCATTTTCATTACAGAGTAATACCGATCTTCCAGTTTCTTTAAAAGTAAGTAGTTATCAGTGCATTTATTTTTCAATTTTTTTTATTGCTTAGTGTGGACGAGGTCACGGCCCGCCTGGTGTTAAGTGGTAACCGGAGTCCATAGAAATCTATGACGTAAATGCCGCCACCCACTTTGCGATATGGTTTTATTTTTTACAGTACAACGGCTGCCCCACCCTTCAAGCCGAAACGCATTACTGCTTCACGGCAGAAATAGAAAGATTGGTGGTACCTACCCGCGCGGAATCACAAGACGTCCTACCACCAGTAATTAACGCAAATTATAATTTTGCGGGTTTGGTTTTTATTACACGATGTTATTCCTTCACCGTGGAAGTAAATCGTGAACATTAAAATTTGTTAAGTACGTATTTCATAAGAAAAATTGGTACTGGAATAATTCGAACACCGGTGCATCGTAAGATACGAATGCACCAGACGTCTTATCCTATAGGCCACGACGACTTCAAAATCTTTCGAATAACTGGAATTTATATTTGTAGTGCGGTGGATGTCGAGGGTTCTGTTTCGATTCAGCGTGTCCTTCCTGCTTTGGAATATGCCCACCCTATTGTGTAAGTTACAGTTTGCAATCGTTTCATTAATTTTAACTGCTTATAAAACTAGTTTTAAAAATGTTAATTCTTTTTTTATATCTTTTTCTAAAGAGCTTTATTTATTTTAAAACCAAAAAACCTTAATGCTATTTGAATTTATAACGCACTAAATAAAATTGTCTTTAGGTCTGTGTGATATATAGGAAATATTAAATTTTATTAGATTAGTACAGTAAGATCCAAGCTTTTGAGGTTTACAAGAGATGCCACTTATACGCACAAAATTGCAACTCTGTAATATGTACATATATGTCATTGTGTTATATTTTTTGTTTCAGAATAATCCGCCATATCCATCGCCCGTAAGTTACAATTCAATTACACTTTTCTGTTCCATTTTAGTAAACTATAGGATATGCAATCTACAATTCTTTGATCATTCATGAGTAATGTATCATACATTTATAATTTTGCGTGTATTTCTTGCAAGTGTAAAATTTATTGTATCACATTTGAAGGACAATCCCATTACGAAGCTTTTATACCAGGTTATTACAATATCTATAATTTCATATAAAGCAACATTTCTCTGTTAGCCATCGTACTGTGTTCGTGATGGAAAAAACATTAGGTGATAAAATTAATTAGCGGTGCTATTAAATCCACATAGATCAGTACCTGATCGATATCTTGCCTATTTATAGTTATTCCAGAACAATTAAAACCTCTGCCTCAAGTTTCCAACTCTGTTACGGCCTTCATGTTGCGATTCCTATTGGCTCTATTAAGCACTAGGACAATGATAACCATTTGGCATTTCGTTCCGATAAAAAATAACTTAAAATTCTTATATTGTCTTGCATCTTGCAGTGTTCATCTTGCCCGAGAGAAAAATGCAGTTGCAAAGTAAATAAACAATTGTTTCTATTTAAAAATTACTTTAATTCAATTTACCATAGTTTTTGCTAGATTTTTCGTTGAATTATATTTTTCAGGTACCTTGCCCTCCAACAAAATGTTTAGTGGATTGCACAACTTGTTTTGGATTAAAGGTAATATAACAACTTAAAATAAACTTGGGTATAATTAATTTGTGGATATCGAACAGCTATTTTTCTAAGGTATGTTAGCTAGGCCGCATCAAATAGAAAAGGTCCTATTGTGAAAAAATGCGGCAATATAACGGCAATCGCTTCACCTTATGAAAAATCATCGCTGCATTGGCATTTAGATAAAAAAAATCCTACCTAAGCTGATGGTTTTGAGAGACCGCTTCAGCGTAACCGGACGAGTAGGTGAGCACACGGGGCTCAAACCTGACGTTGTTGCTAACCCGAACAAGAGCCGTGATTCGCAGAATCTACCACGGGATCGGAACCGCGACCTACTGAGAAGATCCGGCGAGAAACTCAGTGGGCTATGTGGGTTAATTTATTCGCCGAGCCCTTCGTCGCATGCGACGGGTTCGACGAGAACGATGACCGGGTTGAAATTTCTAGGGGTACAACCTCGAATTTGCCATAAATTATTCCCCTTAAGTCTCATTTGANAGAGCCGTGCTTCGCAGAATCTACCACGGGATCGGAACCGCGACCTACTGAGAAGATCCGGCGAGAAACTCAGTGGGCTATGTGGGTTAATTTATTCGCCGAGCCCTTCGTCGCATGCGACGGGTTCGACGAGAACGATGACCGGGTTGAAATTTCTAGGGGTACAACCTCGAATTTGCCATAAATTATTCCCCTTAAGTCTCATTTGAATAAAATATGACTTATTTATGTGGTTGAAGTATCCCTTAGTCAGTTAGAAAAGTCAACTTTCGTAGTAGTAGACGTTTTTGGCTCTATGCTGTCTAGAAGAGCAGTACCACATCTTTTCCCGTGAGAATCGTAATAGCCTACCAAGGGACTTACAAGAGAATACACAGCAACGTTCTCCAAGTATTGTACCAGCATACTACAATCGCCTACACGTATTTACTAATCACTGAGTATATTATGAGTCTACCCGCGTAGGTACTGCTATCCTGCGTATTTTCATTGTTGTATCTACGGCACTCTGGTAACCATTTACACAATGCTCTGCGGCATTAAAAGTAATTCAATATGAGTTTAATTTTAGATAAAACTAAATAAGAAACCAAAGTTTGAGCCTTCTCCTGTTGAGGTGACGCCGCGATCTAGTTCCGTACTTCAAAAGGTAATAAATAAAATTGTACCACCCTAAGTGTTTTACTATGGATTTTTAAACAACAACGAGTCTTCGTAACTTGCAATAATATAACGTCTCTATCTCCCTCAGCCTTTAGCAGCCAGATCCTGCCATCATTTACCTCACTGCATGCCGCCCTCATCATGCTTTCCCTACCTTATGCCTTGCTACTGGCCAGCACGTGCGGGTGCTCCTTGCAGTCATCCCGATCGATGCTTTCACAATCCTCCATGTCCCGCTCCAAGAACTCCTAAGCCGAAAATTCCTCCAGAAGAGATGTGTCCAGAGGTATGTTTTCACATTCGTTAAGTGATAAAGCAAGCAGGATGGTAGAGTAAATGTGTAATTACTGTGACTGTATTAAAATAATATAATAAAATGGGTGGCGATAAATATTTAAATAAAAGTGGAATAGATAGAAATAAAGTAGATAAAAATAAAAGTGAAGTTAAGTTGAGGCTTATCATAATAAACTCGAATTCTTTAAATTTAACATTCTCGTTATTTTAAAAAAATAATTAGAAAAATGATAACATTATTAATTTAAAAAATTATTTTTTTCAGACTGGAAAATGTGAAGATCCATCCAAAAAAACAAAGTGTCCCAATTTACTTTGCCTTGGCGTAAGATTTTTATAAAATCCTAATTTTTTTATTCTAATTTAAGAAGAAGAAATTGCTAAGCTTATCATTTATACTTTAGAATAATCCAGACATGAAGAAAGAAATTGAAAATAGATTTGGGAAAAGCTAAGTTATGGTTTCTCCGAAACATAAGTCCTGTCGATGTGCTGAGGTATTGTAGTTTTTCATGATAAGGTAAACACGAAATAAAATCAAAATATTAATTAAGGCATCTTTACTTATTTTAGGATAAAAATTCGAAGGCAGCACCTCAGAATACAGCCAAATTGAAAAAAGACAGAAAACAAGTACAGTAACTTTTAATCAAAAATAATATTTTAATAATATTAAACATTTTATGAAAATCTATGACCCTTTGAATGTCTTGAGAGCAACACAAGCGATTTGGCTAAACATTTTAAATTAATATTTTTTTATTGCCCTTGTAGGTAGACGAGCATACGGCCCACCTGATGGTGAGTGGTTACCGTCGCTCATGGACCTCAGCAATGCCAGGGGCAGAGCCAACCCACTGCCTACCGTTAGCTCGTAGATAATATATAAATAATAAATAATTCGTTAGTTACCTATTATCTGGCTCGATGTCTTGATACGTTTCTTTGCCTCCGAAACGAGATTCGTCCATTCTACCCAAATCTAAACTAATTTTTGTAATTAAATAAAACCGCATATTAACGTATTTAATATTTAAATTCATTTCAGTCCAAGAATAAAGTTGATAAATGCGAATGCGCCGTGCCCGGATGCTTTAGTTGCTTCGTCAGAAGACCACAGGTTGTCTTTAACTATTTATTTATCCCTCGAAGCATATCATCGCTGTCGAATCAAAATCTGCTATGTGTAAAAACTCTATTTTGAATTAACGAGTAAAAACATTTTCGTATAAAATTCTATATGAAAGTGAATTTTTAAGAACTATATCAAATGAAAGCTATAGATAAATATTAAAGTTAGATCAAGACTAAGACTGGACTATACCAAAAGTTCAAAAAGTGAAATTCTCAAAGTGCACGTAGCAGATTTTGGTTTTACAACGATATTCAAATTTTTTGTTAGTACCTATAACTTAGATATTTTAATATTAATTTCTATAGAAACCCGACCCATGTATCATGGAAAACTTAACTGAATCAAACGAAAACCAATCAGCTGATGGATCACCTCTTCCGAATACTTCGAACACGTAACAGAATAGCGATAGCGATTAAAATTTGAATAAAACCAAAATGTTATCTATCAAATTTTATTTTTGTTCATAATCTCTGGACACGATATATCTTTGAATGCAATGTTTGTGAGAAGGCATCTTGCTCGCGATCTGGTCTACCACTGTAGATGGCGGCGTTCCCTGAGCTATGTGACAGTAATCGCTACAGTACATAAACGGAGCGATGTTAGTTTGATAGGGATTGGGCGGGAAAGGTGCTAAGTCGAAAGATTCTCCGTGTGACCATGATGCAAGCGACGAAGACGCAAATGGAGACTTGTATTTTTTCTTCGTTTCCGATTCAAAAACCCTAAGAGAATTAAAAAATTGTCAACACCTTGAAGCACTTTAGCCTAATGTAAAACGCCCAGCATTTATGACGAGTGACGTCAGAATTCATATCTGAGGCTAGGTTTTTTTTTCTAAGTAAGCACATATGTACGTAATAGGTAAAAGAACAACTTCCCCGACGGAAATACAAAATCACGTATAAAAGGAAACTGCCGATAGGTACGTGTGGATATGTATACACTTACGCCGACTTGCCTTTTTCTTATGCATCTTTGGATATCTCTAGCATTAGAACGTAATGTATTAGCAAAAAAGTATCGTAAAGTATACTGTAAAGTATCCATAAAGTATTATAACATTCAGGATACTCAAATATTTTATTATAACGAGCATCAGAATGCTTTTGACTGACAAGTTTGGGGATCGCTGTTTAAGTGCGCTATAATCATCAGCTGTCGTCAGGAACAAGTAACATTACACTCCGAACATGAATTTGATTTGTCAGCTCAGTGTGGTAAGAAATATAAACTTTTTACTTGCCCAGGTTAATTATTGCCATCAAATACCTACGACAAACTTAACATCATCATGGTTCTTGAAAGATAATTTAATTAGGTACCCTTGGATATTATTAACTGGATTGTGGCAAGCGGCGACTTCTTTGCACTCTTTCTTAACGTGTATTCTGTCATATACCGCTCTGTGTTGCTTGGACAATAATGGCATCCAGACTTCTTTCAGCCTTGGACCGAATCCTCGAACCTGCATATTGTCAACTGTTAGACGTTTAAGAAACAATAAAATAAAATCAGATGATTTTGAAATACTTGATGCTACATAAAATGAAATATCTATATTTTATGTATGTAAAAGATTACGGATGCTAATGACATGAAAATGCGGGGAGCATAACCTGATTTCGCTTCTACAAGTAAACAATCCACGCTAACCGCAGCAATATGTTTTTTAAACTAAAATTTTCAAACTACTGTTCTTTTTAATTTAACCTTCGGTGTATCGAATTCAGAATAAAAAGTAATATGGTCCTTTGCGCCAATCCCATACTGGTCTTCAGCAGAAAATGGCTTATGATATGTTCTATATGTAGACACATATGGATCTAGTAGTCTCCTAAATCCTGCTGCGGTCTCCGGTATTATTGGAGCTTCGTTTCTGCCAGCTGCTACGACCTTTGAAATTGTAATTGAAATAATAAAATTTTCAAAGATTACCACAACTATAAGATAATTTATCATTCTAACCAAAAATCTTGTATGGAAAGATATAAAAGATAGTTTTCATTTTTATTGATACCGTTAAATTATTATGGTTGTTTTTGTTGAAAAAATTTGGTTATAGTCATGCTATACAAACACTGTTCACTAACAACGAATGTTTTTAAACTTATTAAGCATAGACTCACGTCAAAAATATATTCAGGATCGGGTGCCTTCACCGTGATTTCCTGGGGGACCGTGGCCGGCTTTGTCACACCCCTAAAAGTATCCTTCATTTCCGATATCATGATTGGTTGATTTATATTTTTTCCTTGTAACTAAAAAAACCGAAAATTCAACACGATTCTTAAATTATAGAACCATCAAACACTTATCTCTAAAACGTGACCCATTTTATTATCAAATTCAAAATTATTATTACACGTTTCTCGACTCCCGTCATGAATATAACTCGGCGGCAATTTATGGAGCAGTCCGATCTTTCCATCGCCTTATTCGGGTTCGGTTTCACGCAGTATTCACCTGTTGTAGTCTTGTATGTTTCCTTCTCGACGACCATGTCTCGTCCGGTAACTCTTTCTGGTAGCGGATCATCGATTTTCTAAGTAAAAACAAACTTTATAACAATACGATGGACTTTTGTCTTTGTTGATAACCGATTAATCGAATATTACGGAATTCAGTATTTATCGATCAGTTTTTTACGAGCTAACAGCCCACCTGGTGTTAAGTAGTTACTGGAGCCCACAGACATCCACAACGTAAATGCGCCACCCACCTTGAGATATAAGTTCTAAGGTCTCAAGTATAGTTACAACGGTTCCCCCACCCTTCAAACCGAAACGCATTACTGCTTCACGGCAGAAATAGGCAGGGTGGTGGTACCCACGCACGCGAACTCACAAGAGGTCCTACCACCAAAATTATTTGGCTATTTACATTGAAGAACATTTGTACGGACTTGTGTCGCAACGGGGTGACCATTTAATAGAGCGCCTTGTGGTGCAAGGCATGATTGAGGGTAGGAGACAGCGCGGCAGATCACCGTTACGATGGACCGACCAAATAAGGCAGCTCTAAACGGTTCCATCAATGAGTGCACAAGTAAGGCCGCGGTACGCGAGGTATGGCGACGTCTTCTGAAGCGCATCACTACCCGAATTAATGACCACAACCACTCTGCCAAGACTGTAAAGGACTAAGAAGAAGAAATTAAAGAAATACATTTGGAGTTTTAGGATGACTGATCACAAAAAAAACATATTAGAATCTTATAATAAACATGGAAAGAAAAAAAACTTTTTTTTTTTTTTTTTATTGCTTAGATGGGTGGACGAGCTCACAGCCCACCTGGTGTTAAGCGGTTACTGGAGCCCATAGACATCTACGACGTAAATGCGCCACCCACCTTGAGATATAAGTTGTAAGGTCTCAAGTATAGTTACAACGGCTGCCCCACCCTTCAAACCGAAACGCATTACTGATTCACGGCAGAAATAGGTTGGGTGGTGGTACCTACTCAAGAGGACTCACAAGAGGTCCTACCACCATGATCAAAACATGATCAACCATGATCAAAGCATGATCAAACAGTAAAAGTATTCGATAAACACAAATTTAATTAAGGGGTAATATTGATAACTTATACGGATGTATTTCGATAATAAAACTGGAAATCATACTGCAATACGAGTACTTACGCAATCGAAACTATGTGGAAGCGCCGGAATGTGACGAAGTCCAATACTGGTCGCTGTTCTCGTTTCATTACTGGAAAGTCTTAACGGAATATTGTATTGAATGTTACCCCAAGTATTGACGTTTTTTATTAAAAGATCATCGAGAACCAAACGATTTTTTGAGGACATCTTAAAAATGAATTCAATGTACAAAATGTGTAGGTAAATGCGTAAATAAACTTCAATATTATGACAATATTGATTCAAAGAGATTATGTATCATCACATGTTTTATTTTGTCAAACAGTTCAAAGTATTCTTTCAAGTCACTACACTCATAAAAATAACAGCATAAATGAAAATTAAATCAACATTTTAATTTCATTAGAACGTTCTAGAATACAGCAGAAAGCAGCTTCTTCATTGATCTTTTCTTTTTCTTGAAAGCCGGGTTCCTGCCTATATCGTGCCGATAGTCTACCACCTCAGAGGTTTGTATGTACATCGGTAGTAATACTTCATTCTCCGAAAGCCATTCTATGACGTAATCGGTGATCACTTCAATGTGATGGGATTTTGTGAACTCGGTGCGGATATCGTTAATTGCTTTTCGTTCCTAGGCAAAGTAAGAATTAATAATATAAATATCTTACATCTAGTTACAACACAATCTCTAACACATGTTTCTCAATGATTTCTGATAGAAGACGCGATATTCCCAAATGCGTTGAGGCCTCCTCGATTATAATTCACTCGTTTAAAAATGACCAGGAATCTCCTCTATAGACCGGCGCCCACCCAAACTCTTCGAATAAGCTGATCAAAGACGAACCGCAAGAATAATCTAAATGCTTGAATGAGGACAACTCTTCTTTGTCACCACCTTATCCCACTAGGTAGGGTCGGCACAGCGAATTTTTCTATTCCATTCTCTTCTATCGACGACTCGTAGTCGACTGGTGGTAGGACCTCTTGTGTACTGGTGATAGGACCTCTTGTGAGTCCGCGCGGGTGGGTACCACCACCCTGCCTATTTCTGCCGTGAAGCAGTAATCCGTTTCGGTTTGAAGGGTGGGGCAGCCGTTGTAACTATACTTGAAACCTTAGAACTTATATCTCAAGGTGGGTGGCGCATTTGCGTGATGTCTATGGGCTTCAGCAACCACTTAACACCAGGTGGGCTCTGAGCTCGTCCACCCATCCAAGCAATAAAAAAAAATAAAAAAAAACAGCCGCCATCTCAACACTCACTTCCTTCTCTCTCTCATATCGTCATTCACACACTCCATCCAAGTCTTTTTCGGTCGATCCCTTCCCCCTCTACCTTGCACTACCATTTCCATACATTTCCTAGTCACATACATCTCCTCTCTACGCATCAAATGTCCATACCACGATAACCGAATGCTGAATGAGGACATTTACAGTATTTATTTAATTATACTCGAGATTATTTACCTGGTCATCATAAATTCTCTGTCCCATACCATATAGTGCCTCCATCACCGTTTCACCGCTACTTTGGCCCTAATTAAAAATTAATATTTTTTTAATAATAATTACAAATTCGATTTGATAACATGAAATGGCATGTAAAACTATTTTTTTTTGTTTAAATTTGTTGTATGTGAGACGTTAGTTCCCGGCTCGGTAGTATGTTTTAGCCGTAATTTAACTTCACCCGCGGTCGTCGATTTCGGTTAAGTTTAAATGTTCTAGATTCGGTTGCGTGTTGCTCGGCTCCCGTTCGTAATCGATGTGTGTGTGCATGCGATGTAGCTTCGCTGTCATTTGATGGATCCGAACGTGGAGATCGATTGGCGTTGTAAAATGTCAGATTTAAAATTTGCCGCGAAGACGGCACATTTGTTTTTTTGTTTTTATGGCGTAGGTTGATGGAAGAGCTCACAGCCTACCTGGTGTTAATTTGTTACTGGAGCCCATAGACATTTACAATGTAAATGCCGCCACCCACCTTGAGATATGAGTTCGAAGGTCTCAATGTAGTCAATATGTCAATATGTAGTTACAACGGCTGCCCCACCCTTCAAACCGAAAAGTATTACTACTTCACGGCAGAAATAGGCAGTGCGGTGGTATCTACCCGTGCGGACTCACAAGACGTCCTGCCACTAGTTATTACGTAGATTAATAATTTATTAATAATAATAAAAAAAAAGTTATAAATTAATTTTGCGGATTTGCTTTTTACTACACGGTGTTATTCCTCCACCGTGGAAGTCAATCGTGAACATTTGTTAAGTAGGTACGTATTTCATTAGAAAAATTGGTACCCGCCGGCGTGATTCAACCACCGGTGCATGGCTAGATACGAATGCACCGGACGTCTTATCCTTTAGGCCACGATGACTTCATCATTACAATTCATTCATTTCTATCACGAAAAGTAAGTTTAACAATATTTTTTTTCGTACATTTTTTGTACATACATATTTATTTTTATATTTATTCTAAGAATATAAAATATTAAAGACATGACCTAAAGGTCTTAGTTACCAGGTCATAAAATCTCTTAAAAAAACTGACATTTAAAACGTGCGTGCGATGTTTAACACTAATTAATGTATATTCGAAAAATCACTCATAATTATGCAGATCAGACAGTACATTTAAGACTTCGACCACACGTCTTAAGACGGCGATAAGTCATGATGTCCATAGGCACCAGTAAAGCGAATAATAAATAAACTTAATCAACAACATGACGTACCTTCGGCAAGAGTTCTTTGACCATAGCGAATAACTCGTCAGTCTGTTGATGATACAAAAAGTACGCCCACGGCGAACTGAAGTATTCGTAGAAATTGTCAATCTTCTTCGTCTGAACGAAAATCACATTGTCATGGTTACATCGTTAAATTACACAATGGACACTAATTATTATCATCGCGTTGTACGTTCGAACCGTATCTCGCAATAACAGAAATATTTTTTAGTATTACGCTATCGTCTTATAGCATCTTAATTATTTTCCTTATATTTTTATTCTGCTACATCATACCGAAAGCCTAGTATTTACGACAAATTTGTTAATCGAACAACTAACCTATAAAAAAAAATGCTAACAATCACGCCACGTTAACTGGTCGCGTGCTAAGTTCGTAAAGAGCTTGTTTTTTTTTTTTTTCCTACCTATGCTGATAGCCTTGAGAGGCTATTTCAGCTTACCCTAGCTTGTGTAGGTGAGCTCACGGGGCTCAAACCGGAGAATTGCTACCACTGACCCTAGCAACAGCAGTGCTTCGCAGAATCTACCACCGGGTCGGAAGCGCGACCCACTGAGAAGATCCGGCGAGAAACTCAGTGGGCTGTGTCTGTGGGTTAATTCGCTCGTCGAGCCCTTCGTCGCAAGCGACGGGTTCGACGAGGACGGTGACCGGGGGAGCTTGTGTTACAGTTACCAGATAACGGAAATAAATTTAAGATTTTTATTATACACATGCATATATTTAATATACATCCATAACCCTTTTTTTTTTTTTTTTTAACGCTGGGGAATCCATTTTCGGAAACCCGGTCGAGAGGGGTAATAGACCGGGTTATGTCGGATTCCGGCGCCTCCAGAGAAGAAGAGGGGGAAGAGGAAGACCAAAGTCCTCCTCTTCTTCCAATTCCTACCGGGAGACTACGCCTTGAGAAAGGCGCGCGAGGCGCTGCGCGGCGTCTACCACGCAGGACCCGCCCCGCAAAACCGACTACCGACTAAACCCCATCGAGCTCCACCACTCAGACTCCACGAAACCTACGGTACCGCACAATGCGCACCGCAGGCTCGCCGTCGCCGGTACCCGTTCTGACAATAGGACGGGATCCAATCCCCAGGAAGATCCCGCAGGACGTCGTCTCGGGAGACACCGTGAGTGGCGCATAGGAGCCACCTTGCGTCGCCTCACCACGGAACCGACAGCAGAACACCGGGCGCCCCCGTACCCAGTACCCAACAGTCCCTACGGGAGATTAACGGGAGCATCGTGCCCGCGTCGCCCACCCCGCCTTCTTCGCTGAGGAGCCGAAGAGGGATTCCACTCCCTTTCGCGCTCCTCAGCCTATACATCCATAACCCTGGAAAAGACATTTTATATTTATCATACAAATATCTTCCATCGGCGGGATTCGAACCCGCGACCCCCTTATGTAGTGACCATGTCACTTACCACTACACCAGACAGACGACCTATAGATCATTCGTGTGTTAGGGCTTGTTGTAACTCGACAGGGGTACTTGTCTGATGCATTCCACGATCACGATCATCATATCACGGGCAGCGGCATTCAATATGAGAGGTCTATGGGCAGCGGCCACTCTAGAAGCTATTCTGGTTACACAGGGCTGATAAGTGAGCTCACGGGTTCAGCGTGAGAGACTCCGCTAACATCTGCACTAGCAACAGCAGTGCTTCGCTGAATACGCCAGCGGATCGGAATAGCGACTCATCGAGAAAATCTGGTGAGAAACGCAATGGGTTGTGTCTGTGGATTGAGTTCCACGTGAACCCTTCGCCGCATTCGACGAATTCGACAAGACTAATAACCGGTCGTTGGAATGCCCAGGTGTTACGTTTCTGGGTGTATTCTTGACCTCACCCTGAACCCAAAGGCTGGACCGAATAATGCAGAGTAGTACTTTAGTGGGTCACTTAGACAACAACCAAAAGATAAAAATCTTCAGTGGCTCTAGTCCGAAAAGGCGCAGTCCCAGGGACTGGGTATTACCGTATTAAAAAAAAAAACATGTTTTTTTATTAGCAAAGGTTTCAAATAAACAAGTCCTACCTCTATATGATATTAATTATTAAAAAGCTTAGCTTACTTACAGTGAACCTCACATGAACATTATTCAAAACAACAGCAGATAAACCAAATATGTTTTTGAATTTTTCTATCGAATACGATTTGCTGCTTAGACACGTTATGCCGTCCACAATCATATTATTATTTAGATGCAACTTAAAATAGCCACTTTTGAAAGTCTCCATTACGAAACCCTGGAAATAATGACGTAACTTAAGAGAAGTTGATTCAAAACAAATACCATAAGGTTTTTACTTATGCTTTTACTCGCATAAGTGGGCAGAATTTTGATAGGGGGGGTATTCTAAGTTCGCACCGGTAGCTACCACAATCCTGCCTATTTATGTCGCTAAGCGGCCACGCGTTTCAGTTTGAAGGGTATATATTCAAAATATATTCAATAGTTATTATTTATTTAATTAGCTGTACCAATAAATTGATAATTCAAAAGATCAGTGAACTGATAAGGTACAGGATAAATGTCAGCTACAAACGATAGTTTAATGATTGACAACTGTTTTTTTCCTGCCTTTGCTGATAACCTTGAGAGGCTATTTCAGCTTTTCCTTGACGTGTAGGTGAACTCACGGGGCTCATATCGGGAGTGTTGTTAACACTGGTCCTTGTAAGAGCAGTGCTTCGCAAAATCTACCACCGGATCGGAAACGTGACCCACTGAGAATATCCGGCGAGAAACTCAGTAGACTGTGTCTATTGGTTAATTTACTCGTCGAGCCCTTCGTTGCAAGCTACGGGTTCAGCGAAAACGGTTACTGGTGCTTGAGGTACCTAAAAGCACCGTTGATGGAACGGGAGGATCCGTAATAGGCATTGACAACATCAACAATAAACAACAAAGAAAATTTTAAAAATATTACGATATAGTATAAATAGGATAACTTATTTACTTTTCGGCAGGGAGCCGATCCTCCTACGAGGTACCGCGCCTAGAGGGCACGCGGAGTATGCGGGACTAGGCGGTCTGATGTTGGGAGCTGACCGCGGGCCCAAGGATTTTCAATTAAAACTACTGCCTTATGTCTGGAGATCGGTGGCGGTAGATGAGTAGTGGTGCTTCAGGTTGAGGGATTCAGTAACCATTATCACTACGTGAACCGACAGCTTTATACATCGATGAAAAAGCTACAGCTACAATAGAATGTAGGTAATGATGCTATTTATTTTACTACTGAAGTAGGGATGATCGATATTCATTGATGTTGAATAAACATCGATGTTTTAGTTTCGATCATCGATTTCGACACATCGATGCTATGAGAATAAAATATCGAATTATCGAAACGTCCATATAATAATATATATTAGGGCCATCTAACGATAAATGTACTTTCTAGCTAGTGAATCCCTAGGTACTACAATTATTTTAAACTAGATGATACTGATTAACGTAATCGAAGTAAACCGAACTACATAAATGTGTGTGAAATTAAGAAAATGTAAATTGTAAAGTGTGATGTCGGAGTTCAAGTCCAATAATTAAACGCCCGCTTAAATTCCGTAAAACGTAGTTTTAATTAATAAACACGTAAATAAACATTTTTATTTCCTACCAAAAACATGGATGTTTTTAGATATCGATCTCTTGCTATCGATGTTTATCGTATATCGATAATTTTAAATCGATGTCAACATCGATGTTTTTCTAATATCGATCATTCCTACACTGAAGCTTGAGAGTGAATCGATAATTTAACGCCTTGACCGCGACTAGACGTCTTTCCACTTCCGTACAAACCTTTCTATCTATCTATTATAACCGCGGCTTAAGTCTACGTGATCGTCACATGAAGCGTTTAAACTAACATTGAATTGCATCGTCTGAACGTAATGATGAGGTATTTTTTTCCCAGGCGCCCGGACCTCCAAGTACTGCAGACCGCCGGGCAGAAGGCAATATGTCACTAACGGTTTCTTGAATACCGGCAGTTGCATTTCTGATATTTCTTCATAACTGGAATTATATATATATATTTTTTTCTTGCTTAGAAGGGTGGACGAGCTCACAGCCCACCTGGTATTAAGTGGTTACTGGAGCCCATAGACATCTACAACGTAAATGGGCCACCCACCTTGAGATATAGTTCTAAGGTCTCAGTATAGTTGCAACGGCTGCTCCACCCTTCAAACCGAAACGCATTGCTGCTTCACTGTAGAAATAGGTGGGGCGGTGGTACCTACCCGTGCGGACTCATAAGAGACCTTACCACCAGTAAGTATATAATAAACAAATTAACATTACAGTAGGATATAGATAAAATTCTCTAATATTATCAACATCCGCCCATGTTTTAGTCAATTTTCACACTTTTTTTTAACTACTAAACGTCAAACTCCCTAAAAATGTCCCCTGACATAGGTGCGTTTTGTTCTAATTTCCTAATAGATTCTGACAGAATATTGTTCCTTATGACGTTGACTATAATATCAGGTCATATTGACCCGAGATGAACTTTTATACGATGTTGTTCAAAATAGCGCTATTTATTTAGTTGCCTACAATTTTTTTCCCATTCCCCCTTAAAATTAGTCGTAAAGAGCTTCGCAATCAAAGCTTAGTGATCACAAAAAATGTCTTGTGACAAATTTGATTTTATAACACGCTGTAATAAGGTTTTCCTTTGCATCTATAACTGTGTAAGGCAATAGCCGAAAGTAAAATAATGTAGAGTTTGTAGAGATCATGTTAATTAGAAATAGACCAAGTCTTTAATTTTTTGCGTACCATTAGTTTTTTGCGCAAATACAGATCAATTTTAGCATTTTTAAATTGGAAGTCACATTTTAGAGTTTTATAAAAATCAGAATTGAGACGTGATTTTTCCCCGACAAAAATAACCTAGGACATATATAATATAGGTACTAATACTAATACTTCCACTGATAATCCATCAACTTCTGCTTTAGAAAAAAATACGTCGATTCGTTATTTCGCTGTTACGTGAAAGGAGCCACCTATATAGCATTTTATTGCTCTTCATTTATTGTTCAAACCCATTTATCTATATATTAATACGTGAAGCAAAAACTTTGTATCCCTTTTTACGAAAATTGCGCGGACGGAGGAGTATGAAATTTTCTACACTTATAGAGAATATAGAGAAGAAGTGCACAATGCTAATTTTTTTTTTAAATAATGCATAAAAGATACATTAAATCAATAAAGAAAACATTACACACACTACATACCATGCATTTGACGCACGCACATGCATACTATTTAGTGTCAAACTTTTGTTCCAGACGTCCGTGGTCAAATTGAGAATAGATTAAATATTGTTTGTCTTTATTAATATTTTTTTATAGCGTAGCCTTGGCGAAATTTGTGATTATAGAAGTATAAAATACAATCATAATAGTGTACAAACTTACAATTCCAATTAATTATAGTCGAATTTCGACTACTGCGGGACCTCTAGTTCACTTAAATCCGTACTAACGTTAGAGATTTGTGTGACGAAACCGATTGTCTTGCTGCAGTTTCAATTACAGAGTCCCGCTTTAAAAGAATATCTGATTTTGGAGTAGAACTGGACTTGGTGAATAAAGGGTCTAACTCGTCTTGAATTTGAAATCCCAGCTGCAAATTATTTGCATCAGTACGATTTGTGATAACATTTGAAAGGATAATTAATAAAAAAGGATGGAACACATGGACAAGTGTAATTTTCATTAATATCTGAATGTCGAGTTCAAAAACTTACAGGCTCTTAATAGTAAATACATAATTATCATTAGAGTTTTGTAAATTATTCCCGCGCTTTGTGTTGCCAAGGCATTAAAAGGTAAGAAAAAATATAGAAGATCATAAAAATAACAAGCTTTACACAATACCTTTTCTCCTATCTCATAAGAGTCATAATACTTCTGTTTGTAAGATTCAGCATAGTATTTTCTGCAATATGCCGTAGCCGGGCCGGCGGCATAGATATTGGGATCTTTCGTTCTAAATTTATTATCTATTAAAATCCCGTTATCATACACGATTCCACTTTTATTAATAGCTGGAAGACGAATTTTAATTACGAAGAAAAACAAAACTAATTTCAGTTTTAGTTTTAATAAATCAGACCAAAAAATAAATGATAAAACTCAGTTCTTTACCTATGTACGCTTGAGTATTAATTCCTCTCTTTCCATAATAGAAGAAAGCAGCACAATCTAATCTCACCCGTTTATATTGTGATATGAAATCCACACGAGTGACCAGTTCATCGTAATCAATTTCCCAATTATCAAAATAATACCCACTGTAAACGTCAATACCTAGATTTTCTAACACCTCTTGTACGGTTCGATCGACCTGACATTTAAAGTATTAATTATTTTATTTTGTCAGATTAAAATTGTCGTAAGACTATCATTAGGCAGTTGATCTGATTTTGATAAATCTAGGGTTACGAATATTTAATATTTTCGCCAGCCGCATGCATACAATTGCAAAAAGAATGCAAACAGATAGGTTGTGCTATCTGCTAAATATGACTTCATCACGACCAAATCCTATCAATATTCGTTTTATTTTATTTTTTATTGCTTATATGGGTAGACGAGCTCACAGCCCACCTAGTGTTAAGTGGTTACTGGAGCCCATGGACATCTACAACGTAAATGCGCCACCCACCTTGAGATATAAGTTCTAAGATCTCAGTATAGTTACAACGGCTGCCCTACCCTTCAAACCGAAACGCATTACTGCTTCACGGCAGAAATAGGCAGGGCGGTGGTACCTACCCGCGCGGACTCACAAGAGATCCTACCACCAGTATTTATTACGCGTTCAGTTAATTCAAAGGTTATATTACCCTTATTATTTTTCAATTTTAAATATACTCGTAACAATAGTTTTTCGAATGATTATAATCAAAACGCATTGGATTTTTTTTTTGTTGAACAAATTATATCGAATCGATGATTTAAGTAATTCACTAAATTCCCATAAACGTATATCAAACGATTGTTTAAGGTATCTTGCTTTACCTGTACAGAAATAAATTATAGTTTAAAAAAACTAACAAAATACGCTTTTATAGAAAACCCAACTAAAAAATTTAAAATAAATTTTAATAAATTTGGATTAAAAATAGTGTAGCGTGGGGTGCTTTTCATGATATTATCAAAATAACCCTTCTACTCATATCTGTTCATAAAATATTTATAACTACTGATACCAAGCACCCCACGCTTTCTTTTACAATAAAATAATATTTTCTTACACTATTTTTAATTCAAAATCATTAAAAATAATTCTATTTTTTAGTTGGATTTTCTATAAAAGCGTATTTTATTAATTTTTTTAAACTATTATTTATTTTTCATTTTTTAGTTTTTTTTTCCATTTTTTTTAAATATTGAATTGTCATCGGTCCTTAAGAAGTATATTAAATTTCGAGTGAATCCGACGTTTTGAAGGGGGTCAAAATCATGTTAAAAAACTCTGTTACATAATAACATACATACGTCTGAAGATAATAAAAGCGTATTAAAAAGAACAATGATTTCAATAACCTTACATAAACGTTACAAAAAATAGGGACCCTTGTTTTCGTATTATTTTCAGGCGGAAACGGTTCTACAAACACTATATTCTCAGCTGGTACTTTTGACTCCAATAACGCAGTCAAACAACAATAAGCCTGGATTTTCGCACCGTACACTACTATTTTTGATGAAAAATCTATAAGAATTGAATACACCAAATTAATATTTTTTTATTTACATTCTATATAATACCTTTAATAATAATTTAAGGTCTTTATGAATGAGTAGACTACTTAATTGTTATAAATGCGTGAAACCCCTTCTTAGGAGTGGGATTTAATTAGTCTCTTTTTCAGGATTCAGATTCAGATCTTTATACCGAATTTCATAAAAATCACTTCAGAGATTTGGCCTTGAATACATAACAAACACAGAGAGGTTACCTTTGTATAAATAGTGTATATACGCGATAAATACACACCACATACAAGCCAAAACACAGAAAAAGCTGAATTTAAAACATATTAAATAATTTAAACTAAATAAAACTATATTTCTTGTTGGCTAACCTGTCTTATAGTTCCAAGTCGAGTCCTGTACGTATTTCAAAGCCCTTTTAGCTTCAACGGTGTTATTGATAATGAACACGTTCTCAGGTGTGACATTTGGATCTATTTGATTTTCGAGAGCATTATGACTTAGTTTGTCCATTCTTATGTATGTCGGTGTCTTGCCGAGACTAAAATTGAGTATAGAATAATACTTTCTGCCAGTCATCTTTTATATGTATATACTATATTTTTATATACTTTATAACACATTAACAATGCATAACGAGATATATGCGACCTTCGGTATATGATGGTAGGACGTCTTGTGTGTGAGTCCGCATGGGTAGACGGACCACCACCTTGCCTATTTCTGCCATGAAGCAATAATGCGTTTCAGTTTGAAAGGGCAGCCATTAGACCTACTGTTAAAACTGAGAGCTTAGAACTCATGTTTTGAGGTGGGTGGCGACATCTACAAAGTGGCTACTTAACCAGGTGGGTCGTGAGCCCGCCCACCGGTCGAAGCAATAAAAAAAATTGTACTTATTACCATCAAAGGTAGGCCAGCCTGCGATCTATCTGATTGTAAGTGAAATAATGATACAGTCTTTGAAATGCGGCTGTCAATATTTCACTTGACTGTATCACCAAAATATTTTGTGTTTATAATTATATTATCATATAACGTACTACTCAATATTTCTAAAAAAAAATCGATGTTCACAAATTTCTACAAAACCATGTTCGTAAAGTAAAGTTCAAACTACAAATAGCTACAAAAGAGAACAATCCTCATTTAAAAAAAGGAAAAATATTTTTACGCTTATATAAACGCATTTGAAGTTTAACTTACGCAATATTACGTTCTTTTTCTAATAAAGGCTCCAAGTAATTTGGGTGTTGAAATTGTTTTCCGAACATCAGAAATAAATAATCGTAATGAATTCTATCACCATTTGACAATACAATGTATTTTGTATTCCTAGAAATGGTTAAAAGTTAAAAAAGTATAAAAGAAAATCATGGATATTTTACCATTTCGGGATTGTTTATAATTTTGTAAACATTAAACTTTGTTGAAATACTAGTCTTCGCTCGACAATATAAACATATAGTCCAAAGTGAATGTTTGGGGATCATGTACTGCTAGACGTGCCCCGCGAACTTTCCTGTGTTTAATTTGTAATTAAGAGAAAATACAGAAGAGAAAAACACACGTTGCATGTTCCAAAGATAAAGAGTTGCTTGTGTTACTCTCTAGTTTATAAACAGCCAGTCAATTTTGAAGTCGTCGTGGCCTAAAGGATAAGGCGTCCGGTGCATTCGTGTTGAGCGATGCACTGGTGTTCGAAGGGTGGGGCAGCCATTGTATCTATACTTGAGACCTTAGAACTTATATCTTAAGGTGGGTGGCGCGTTTACGTTGTACATGTCTATGGGCTCCAGTAACCACTTAACACCAGGTGGGCTGTGAGCTCGTCCACCCATCTAAACCATAAAAAAAAGATCCGTTGGTACGTAAAATTACGAACTAACAAACATATCGTTGCATTTTTTAGCAGATACACCTGGTGTTGTCCGGTTCATGATAAAAGGTATCTTCCGTGTTTTTTCCTGTCTATGAACTATATTCGTGCGTGATTATTACGGCATTTATGTTCGTAATTTTTGAAACGATCCAAACTACGAGAGTATCACGAATAAAGTATATTAAATTTACTTTTCAATATCCACCAAAGTTCCATGTACAACATTCACATAATAAGTATAAGGTATGCTTTTCAAATGTTTATCTGTCGTATTGTTTTGTGTCGGGAACATCATTTCGGCTATTGGCTTCGATTGTTTCGTGTATGGCAGACCGTTTGGTGAGACCAAAGTGACGTTAGTGAATAAGAGATATGACGAGGAATCACTGAAAACAATTATTCTTAGTAAGATTTTTCAAGGGGTATAGGGATAGACCAGTTTTTTGCGTGGGCAACATAATTATTTTGTGTGTAATCAATCAGCCTTATTCTGCTACATGAAATTAGCATAATGCGTTTGTGCTTTCATTTGGCTTACTTTTTTTTTTCTTTTTTTTTTTTTTCTTACCTATGCTGATAGCCTTGAGAGGCTATTTCAGCTTCGCCCTAACGTTTGTAGGTGAGCTCACGGGGCTCAACCGGAGAGTTGCTAGCACTGACCCTAGCAAGAACAGTGCTTCGCAGAATCTACCACCGGATCGGAAACGCGACCCACTGAGAAGATCCGGCGAGAAACTCAGTGGGCTGTGTCTATGGGTTAGTTCGCTCGCGAGCGACGGGTTCGACGAGAACGGTGACCGGGTTGGCTTACACTACTAACATTCCAACTCAGATTTTAATTTGTATTTCGCCTCTAAGATGTTTCGGGGGGTTGATGTTTTCTGAATCGAATGGGTAATTCTAAATTAACCTAAAGTCCTGAAAAGTATATGGTGTTAAAGACGAAATTGTGGTGGATTTGTGGTATAGGTACCACCACCCTGCCTATTTCTGCCGTGAAGCAGTAATGCGTTTCGGTATGAAGGGTGGGGCAGCCGTTGTAACTATACTTGAGACCTTACAACTTATATCTCAAGGGGGGTGGCGCATTTAAGTCGTAGATGTCTATGGGCTCCAGTAAGCACTTAACACCAGGTGGGCTATGAGCTCGTCCATTCATCTAAGCAATAAAAAAAAGGATTCTATAATATTAAAACGTTGACCTCATTTACTAAGTTGGACTGCGGCACGTTTTGATGTCTATGGACTCCGATATCCTTTTAATATTAGGTGAGGCGTGAGATCGTTGGCCCGTCTAGTACAATAGTCAAAAATTACAAGAATATACAATGAAGTCACGATAACAGATCTCGTTTCTTTCTCTTGCGCACTATTTAAAGTTTTTTAGCCTCAATTTATTTCATATATTTATATCGTTTTGTACATTTTATATATATACCGTATAAAATACTTTACTTTACCTAAATAATAAAGAATTCAGAAAGGACATTGCAGTTTTTGAAGCACCCACGACTACTATACGTGTTGTTACGTACAACATTGGTACACTGGTCAGTTTTTTCGGCAAAAACCAGGCGCTAAACGAGATTCTGAAAATACAAATTAAAACAGCTTCTTTGTTTTCTTTTTTCTAAAAAATAAACTCCGTTTGTCATAATGTATGGGTATAAATATACAAAGGTTCACAGAAACACGTATGTACCACGTGCTCTCAATGGAAACATCCTCTAAAAAGGTAACCCTCATACAATTTTTAATTTTTATTTGAATGGTGACTAAGTTCTGGTAGACACTGGCACCAGTGAAAATAATTGTTTTATCCATTTAGCGTAATAAATAAATTGCGCTTTTTTGTTTAAATTACATTTATATGCGTTTAAATATAAATTTAAAAAAAGTTCTATTAAAAAAAAACCTCTTTGATCTATAATTTAAATGAGGCTATTTTAAATCACTCGTTTTTGTCAATAATAGTTTAGAGTTATTTCTCTTAAATTACTATTATCGTTTTATGGTAAAATATTCGTTCCGCCTGCAAAAAATTTACATTTACTTGAAAAAATAATGAGTAGGTAAAACATAGCGTAGTAGCCGATATACTAGCAAAATATCTTATAATCCTAAAACACTAAGGTGGTCTAGTAATCAGGTGATAAGGTGAAAATAGATCAAGGTATTCTATAGGATGTACCGCATTGTGCAGTTTACACAACTTAAAATAAAAATAAATCATTTTCTATCGATACTGAAGAGACCCATCTCTACAATACTTTTTTTTAGTTAACGTAAATATGGCCAGTTACGTTTTATTCGTTACATCACTTGACTTATTTAAATCTGGTATAACGTAGTCTACGGCTGACTCTAAAGGCATCAATGGAATCATCACTGACGCTAATGAATTGGCTTTCTTCATCACCTGCAAAATTATAATACAATATTCTAAATTATAATTTAATACTTACTTATAATATTACATTTCATTTGGTTGTGTATATAAATCTATTGAAATTTTCCAAAATTATCTTTCAGCTTATGCAAATAAAATTTAAAAGTATTGTTCCGAAATCAATTTTTTTTTCAAATTTCCTAAGAGATTTTAAGTCGAATACTCGAAATTATCAGTTTCTTTGAAAAACACTACATAAGCTTTATTATAATTTGAAAGTGATTTTATTTGGAAAATTAGCACTAAAATGAATGCCAGTTGACTCACCCATTTATTTCTGTAACCCGTCAACCAAATCAAGGCACTGGCTCCAGACAATCGCATGATATCTCTTGCGAAAAATCGGAAATGTGGTTCGAAAACTGAATAAGATAAAACCATTTTCAATGTAGTAAAACCGCATTGCAGTCCTTTCTCCTTGCAGTGATATTTATGCGTATGATACGAGCTAATGTTGAATTTACCTCTGAAATAGTCTATATTTTCTGGCGGCCTAAAAATTATAATATGGTTAGAAGCACCTCGTGGCTTAATAAATGAAGCTGTATTTTCCAACCAATAAAAAGTTCCTTAATCGTCTTACTGGTTTACGAACTAAAAGTCGGTTTCTTAATCGTTTTCTAAGTAAAATCACGAACCGAAAAACATACTGTCGTATGTATCACGGATAATATATCTGATATTGCAAGGATAAGCTTATTTGCTATGGTAGCAGAATTCATTTTGTAACGTGTAGATAACCACTAGATCGATCGGGATCTCAGTTATAACAACAACAAAAAACAAATGTAAATTCTAATTCAAAATCTTATGTTTATTCACTAACTCTAAAATAGCCACTCCTACAACAGTCAAGCCACTCATCATAACATATGAAATATGATTTCTTGTACAGGAAATACTCTTTTCAATTGTTCTTATAGTTTCCTTGAAATCCAAATTCTGGAACATTCTACATATCTCTGGGATGTCGATTAATTCAGCTTGACGAACTCGTAATTTTCTGTAAACATTCAATGCATGTTGTCAAGCCGATTGTTCCTTGCTGGATGTCTTGTTGTTCTCTTCAATGAAACGATTTGGCTTTTTTTTTTCGTATTTACAGGTTTATTAAAAGATTAAAACTGTAGAATAAATAATAATGAAGTGCAATATTGTAGTAGATAATGTAATCGTTAAAGATGTATATGTGTTCCCGATCGCTCGATGAAGCGAAGCTCGGGGGTGGGCGAGAATAAAAACTTGTTTAGAGGGGGATTTAGAGATCCTTAACACCGATAAACCTACAAAACTGTCGTGGCCCTCAAGAAATCTACTTTACATTCATACAAAATGTTTTGCTCAAATTGTCAACAGATATTTTGTATTTACCGCTGTACAAAATGATGTTGTTTTATTTTATTGTCCTATAGACATACGAGCATACCGTTCATCTGATCGTGAGTAATTATCCATGATAATGGACATTATCAACGCCAGCGACACAGTCAAGCCGTAGCATACCAATGTAAAAGCTCCTTATTCGCGCTTCCTTCATTCAAATTTTCACCATTTGCGGATAAATAAAATTCGCAAGCACATTGATAAAAAGGATTTCAATATATCGTCTCTGTCAAACCAAAATCTGCTATGTGCAAAAACTCTATTTTGAATTATCGAATAAAAACATTTTCGTATAATTTTTTATATGAAATTGAATTATTAAGAACTATATCAAATTAAAGCTATAGATAAATATTAAAGCTGTAGACACATAACAGTTTTTTTATACGGTAGACGATAGGGTTGTGAACTATACGAAAAGGTCAAAAGGTAAAAATCTGAAAAATTGCACATAACAGATTTTGGTTTGACAACGACGATATAAGAATCCAACCGATTATTCTTTGTAAAACCGCTTTTCCTTATTCACGGTTTCGGTATCCGCGGCATATTCACGGAACGGCGACGTCTGGTGAAACGCACCACTACCGGAAATGACTGACCACGACCACTCTGCCAAGAGTGCATACGACTGAGAAGAATGCCCCGCGAATAAACAGCTTTTAATGTACTAAAAATTAGAGTATATACTATTCATATTCAAACTATAGCTAACAATATTGCCGAGTTAACTGATTACTAACTACTTACCCCATTACTGAATTTCTGTGAGCAATGTAAAGAGCACTTGTACAACTCGCACTGTACTTGCTAGGAACAAACTGTAATTTTTTTAATAATCTTTTGTTAAGCAGAAAACAACACTGTGCTTAGTATTGATGACGATAATTTTTATTAACAAATTTATATTTCTTTAAAATAAAACAAACAATTAATGCCTATTATTTTAACTGTCTATTGTGATTTATATAGGATTGAAGTGATAAACACTAGTGGTAGAACCTCTTGTGAGTCAGCGCGGGTAGGTACCACCATTCTGCCGTGAAGCAGTAATGCGTTTCAGTTTGAAGGGTGGGACAGCCGTTATAGCTATACTTGAGACATTAGAACTTATATCTCAAGGTGGGTGGCGCAATGACATCGTAGATGTCTATGGGCTCCAGTAACCACTTAACACCAGGTGGGCCTTGAGCTCGTTCACCAATCTAAGCTATTAAAAGAAGAAAAAAGATGACGCTATATGATTTCCCTGTGAGATTATATCCAATTGGAATCGAAAGAACTTACAATAAAATGTTGTAGCAGCGGGAAACTCTTTTCTGCAGTCGGTACTCGTATTATGCAGTAATCATATTCTATCATAATTTCAAACGCTGCTTTGAGTAAATCAAATGCATGTCTGAAAAAATACATTACTGGGCTGATAGAAAATAAATAACTCAATACTTCAGCAGGAACTGACGAAAAGTGGTTTTGAAAAAAAAAACTTCAGAGGTGTCAAGGGACACCCGGATGGAACGAAGTTCCTTTCGATTAATTAGTGAAGGAATTGTAATATTTTTTTAAGTTATAATAATAAATTACGGCATTATGAAGAAGAAAAAACAATACTATGAACTAAATTACTATTGTTGAAACGCTATCTCGAGAAACTGTACTCATTACGCGGACCAATCGGATACGAGCAATGTCACGCGATAAGCGCCTACACGTTGATTGGTCAGAATGACGGATCTAAAAAGTGTCGTGACAANTAAATTACTATTGTTGAAACGCTATCTCGAGAAACTGTACTCATTACGCGGACCAATCGGATACGAGCAATGTCACGCGATAAGCGCCTACACGTTGATTGGTCAGAATGACGGATCTAAAAAGTGTCGTGACAACTTTTCGTAAGAATTTTTTCCGTCTAGCCCCCTTTCACAACGCGCGATAAGGAACTTCGTTCCAAAAAAATTATACCTGTTGTCCAAATCTTCTCGCAATCCAAATAACTCTATCATCATAGCGTTTGGTGTACCCTCATACTCTATGTTCTCCGATATCTTTACTTTGTTAACGTTCAGCATTGAGTTCCTTCCTGCTCGTAAAAACAAAATAATTTAATATATGTGGGATAAGACGTTATTATTAGGAAATATCATTTAACAAAATTCATAATATTTACTTCGATATTTTTGAGTGCACATTGACATCAATCTCGATTTTGTTCTGATTTCTGTTGATCTTGGCCTGAAATAAGATATCCCTGGTCAGAACAGGCAGTATGTACCTCGACGACACAAATAATAAATACATTTTTGTTCAGAATTTTAGCTATTTTTATATTTTATATTAAAAAAATACGTCTAAAATTCCCAATCTTCAGAATTTCGCTTTTATAAAACATGTACTTATAATATGATAATGATAATGTGTAACAAAAATCTAAGGCTATAAAACAGGTATTCTGTTGTAATACTTCTAGTTTCCATTAGCGTTCATATTTAATTTTATATTCAGCTAAAAATGAATTCACAAAAAAATATATTAAAATTGTATAATACATTCTCAAACAATGTTCACTCACAATTTTCAAACAATGTTCGCATACTCACAGTAGTTCATAAGATAAAACCTCTGGTATATTTAAAAGCGTTTGATCGATATTAACAATGTCATAATCGAATGGATCTTCGTCCAGTAAATAATTTATATCGCAACGCTCAATTTCATGAGATGATTCGCGTAAATCAACCGCGATGTGGCTTGTTTGATCTTCATAATACTCATTGTCATTGTCAAACAAAACATTTTGTCTCATAGAAATCTCACTAATGAAATCAACTTTACTAGTTCGTCTGTATTTCGCATTGTTAATGACTGTGTTTTCCGGTGACTTCGTCTGAAACGCCTATACCCAAATAAAAATACTTTATAGCANATGAGATGATTCGCGTAAATCAACCGCGATGTGGCTTGTTTGATCTTCATAATACTCATTGTCATTGTCAAACAAAACATTTTGTCTCATAGAAATCTCACTAATGAAATCAACTTTACTAGTTCGTCTGTATTTCGCATTGTTAATGACTGTGTTTTCCGGTGACTTCGTCTGAAACGCCTATACCCAAATAAAAATACTTTATAGCAAATATATTAAACCTAGCGGACTTAAACAAGTTAAAAGTAAATATAAAAAATATTTTATAATGTAAAATAAATTATTACTGCTTTCAAATCAAAATCAATTAATGGTGCCACTCATCTTCGGACGATAATTCGAAATGTCAATTGTGTTAGTAAACGGGTAGGGAATCGTACTCCGATATACCTACATAATAATATGTAGGTGGCTTACAATACGCCCAATTATCAAACTATGTTCTATTTTTGTCTTGGTGGAGATCATACTCGTATACTCTTTTTTTTTATTGCTTAGATGGGTGGACGAGCTCACAGCCAACCTGGTGTTAAGTGGTTACTGGAGCCCATAGACATCTACAACATAAATGCCGCCACCCACCTTGAGATATGAGTTCGAAGGTCACAGTATAGTTACAACGGCTGTCCCACCCACTTCACGGCAGAAATAGGCAGGGTGGTGGAACCTACCAGTGCGGACTCACAAGAGGTCCTACCACCCAGTAATTACGCAAATTATAATTTTGAGGGTTTGATTTTTATTACACAATGCTATTCCTTCGCCGTGGAAGTCAATCGTGAACATTTGTTAAGTACGTATTTCATTAGAAAAATTGGTACCCGCCTACATGAATGCACCGGACGTCTTATCCTTTAGGCCACGACGACGACACCGTTTCCAAAGAGATGTGACGTCAAGCGATAAGTTCTCAATAAGAATAACCCATATTGTAAGCCCGCGTTATAGAGGACAGAAAACCTTCCTACTTATTCCAATAATAAAACATTGATGCGTTTCAGTTTAGAGGAACAATTTTTAATAATTTTAATGAAAATGGAACCTCAGTAAGTCTCTGATTTATATTTATATTACTTAAAGCTTACAAAAACAAAAAAAAAGTCGCCAAAAAGAACATCGCTTTACAAACAATGGAAAAAAGTATTTTTCGTTTTCGCCTTTTTATTATAATTATATTTTAATAAATTGTTACTTTTTCTGTTAGTTCTTCGAACATTGTATACATTATAATATAATCTCCTTACTTGATCGGATTTTAATTCTTCCAGACTCGAAATGTCGTCGAAGGGACTCAATCTCCCAAGCATTATCGGTTCGCTGTATTTTAAAATGATATTGTATTATCAACTAAATACTATAAAAATAAGTTACTTATTACTAAATTACAAGGTGTTTAGGTAACTGACTGTTATTATAATATATTAATATGTATCTTATAGATTGTCAATTTTTAGATTTTTGAAATTCTGTCTATTAACGAAAATTCCGTCAGAATCGATTTACCTATTTAGGTAATTAGACAAACGTACAGGCTTAAAAATAACGTGCATTTTTGTGTTAATCAAGTAAAAATTAGCAAACCAAGCAATTATTTCGATATCATCACAAATAATGAAATTATTATTTTTATGCGGTTAGTTTATGAGATAATTAAATTCTCATTTAATTTCAGATCATTTGTAATTATGGTCATGGACAAAAAATTTAATTTCGATTTAGCGAATTGATTTTGTAGCTTATTAAATTCTATCTCGAAACACTCATACATAATAGGCCAATCGTTACTACAACCCAGTTGTTATATTGACTTCATATTCCGAGATTCAGGTTGTGTCTAATGATATCGATAACATATTTGAATACTAGATAACCGTTGTTTCTGCTGAGTTACATACGAGCTTATTGAGTTTATCGAGAAATTATTGAAGGAGTAGAATGTTCGTACTAGGCTGCACTAAAAGTATCGGGAATGGAATATTTCCACTGTTCCTGTCATATTAAAATCTTTTAAATTGAAAACTCCTTGGTTTTAAAAATCGAATACCATTTATTTATTTAAAAAAAGATTCTCGGTCTTGTCACGAGGTTTTGTCAAACTTGTTTAGTCGTTGAGAAAATGGAATTGACTCGAGAAAATTCAAGAGCGATGATTTATTATGACTTTCGAAGTGGTTTAACACAAAAAGTGTGTTGACCGGATTTCTGCATTTGGTGATGAAGCCCCATCCAAAATCACAATTTATCACTGGTTTGCTGAGTTTCAACGTGGACGTGTCAAGCTCAGTGATGATCCCCGTCAAGGTCGTCCAAAAACTGCAGTCACCCAAGAAAACGTTGATGCTGTGCGTAAGCTGATTGAGGAAGATCGACATGTGACATACCGCGAAATTCAGGCAACTTTAGACATTAGCATGAGTCAAATACAAATAATCTTGCATGAACAANATTATGGAGCTTGACTCAACATCACCTCCAACAGATGACGCGTGATTCATGGCGTCCGATGATAGGATTGGTAAATAATACTCGTAATGATTGCAAAATAACACTCATAGAAACACAAAATAAATATTTTTTGCAATTAATAAGAAGTCGAATAAATATTTGTGGACTTGCGACTTCACAGTACGAAAGTACACAACGCTATGAAGATTAAAGATGGCTGCGCTCCCTTTATACTTGCTGGCAGCACCTAGCGGCTAAAGATGGAACTAAATTGACGGTCTATGGTTGGACATAGACAAGGAATCTAAGCTAAGTACACACTGCTTCTTCATAATACAATGCTGTATGTTTTCCAAAGGCACATCAATATTACATTCGTCATCTCTATGATATAGTCTTAAATTAAAATGTAATTAAAATTACTATTTTTAATAAATATGAAAAATCATAAAAAATAACACTTATTTTTAGTGAAAATTTTTAAAGATCACTTTAAAGTTTGTTAGTCGTCGTCTTTTACAGCAAATTTTTAAAAGTTAATTTAAGAAATCAACTATAGGCGACTATAGTCTTTCGAATCGATCAAATTTCAAATAACAATCACATGACATTTTTGTCGAAAACGTATAACATAGTTAGCAAGTAACTTACATCGGCAACAATTATTTTTCTTTTACTCTCTGGGCGTCCACCAACAATCTCACTAATGTAATATTCACCGTACAATTCCTTTAGTCTCGGACATTTGTTGTCTAAAATCTCAACGATGTCATCATTATCTTCTTCACTGTGAATACATGATCAATATTTGTTTTTTTTTTTATTGCCTAGATGTGTGGACGAGCTCACAGCCCACCTGGTGTTCAATGGTTACTGGAACCCATAGACATCTACAACGTAAATGCACCACACACCTCGAGATATAAGTTCTAAAGTCTCAGTATAGTTACAACGGCTTCCCCGCCCTTCAAACCGAAACGCATTACTGCTTCACGGCAGAAATAGGCGGGGCGGTGGTACCTACCCGTGCGGACTCACAAGAGGTCCTACCACCAGTAATTCCGCAAATTATAATTTTGCGGGTTTCATTTTTATTACACGATGCTATTCCTTCACCGTGGAAGTCAATCGTGAACAATTGTTAAGTACGTATTTTATTAGAAAAATTGGTACCCGCCTGCGGGATTCGAACACCGTTGCATCGCGATATACGAATGCACTGGACGTCTTATCCTTTAGACCACGACGACTTCAATATACAAAGTCATCATTTTATAATGTTAAATACTTTTCTATTTGTAATTTAAGTTTAAGTTGAGTTTAATACTTACACGGCGCTTCGTAATTTAAATTTAACGCAAAATTCCTGTCTGCTTGCAACATATAAACAGTAGCCCTTTTTATCAATGTCTTCCTCCCTTTTAGAGTAGTGCTTATAGAAATTGCGCTTCTTAAAAGTTTGATATGAACTAAAATAATCTAAAACATTTTAAGGTATTTTCGTTGGTAAGAAGTTTAATTTTGCATTAAGTATTTCCGATTCAAGAAACTTCAAAGGAGCCTGAATACTGTTGTTATCTCCTAAAGTATTGAGTTAAATCGCAGGACATCACGTCATAAATAGTGAAATATACATTTGTCCAGTGTGTTTAGTGCGAGTTTTTTTAACTTCTTTTTCAACTCCACTACGTTTGCCCTAGGGGCGCTGTTCCAACTCCATTAACTTTTACGCGATCGAGAAGTTAAAAAACACGGACTAAGCACACGGATGTCACAATCGCAAGTGCACCTAAGTGTGGGGTGGTTCATGAGCCAGCATGTGCTGCTGGTACCATCAAGAAAGATATTTATGGTATTTATTATACAGAAATATTATGTCTCGAGTTCGACGGCAACATTCACGCTGTGGGTTCTATGTTATATGTCTCTATATAACAACTTAGTATCTAAATAAATCTGCCTATTTAAAAGAATATTGTTATTATGTTGTCAGAATAATGTTTCGTGTTTTTCAATTGCTGTAACCATGCTGTAACCATCAGAAGCTATAGCAAAATTGCATTACGTTAGGGCTTGACATACCATCAGATACATTTGGTGAAACGACAAGAACAACCTGTGATAGGTAAGGGTCGTTGAGGAAGACGGATGCTAACGCTTCTTCTACAAAATAATCCTTTACTTGGTCCTTGCAACAGAAGAAATGAATGAATAGCGTTTGACGAGATAGATAGTATTTTCTGAAATTACAACACAACACTTATCAAGTTTATTTTTTACCATGCCAATTTGACGCAAATCGACCAATATTATTTGATGTTAACGTTGAAAGCTGCTGAATACTAAACTTACTAATTAAATTAAACTTATTTAACCACTGGATTTGATTGTAAGCGCCCAACAAAAATAATATTTAAATTAAGTAGGTACTTACTGAAACATATTCCTAATCCAAACTTCCCACCCAGACGGATCAACTCCTGGTATATTCGGATGGTCACACAATGACATAAATCCAACAACTTCTTTCTTTTCATTTATCATACAAATGGATAAAGTGCTAAGCTCACTAAAATAAAACAAAATGTTGGGAGTCTAAAAGACAGTTATCGTCGCGGCTAATGCCTAGTTTACATTACGAAATTAGTGTCATGCATGTTGAGCTCAGTTTCACGAAAGTAGTTTCGATATATGCGAAAGTAATTTCGTTAAAAAATTAGCGTCGCGAATCCACAGTATCGCAGTAACCATGGCGCCTTCAGCATCAAAGCTATAATTTGCTATATTCAATGTAGCTAAAGAAATGCTTATATACCTATAAACTTAAAAAAAGACTATCAAGAAAAAAAAAGTTGGTAGATTCGAGGATGGTCAACAAGAAGGCATTTAGGTGCAATGAAGTTAGTCTCTGAATTAGCAGATGAAGATTCTGAGAGTTATAAAAACTATTTTCGAATGAGTGAAGATAATTTTGATTTTTTACTGTAGGTGTTTCGGGACCCTTGTCATTGATATTCATTAATAAGGTTTATATTTTTTTCTGTACTCCATCGTTGGTTTGCCATTTTCAACGTTTGAAGCGCGTCCGAACTAACAATACACACGTCCGCACAGCGCAAGCCCTTTCGCGACATTAGTTTCACGTCGCGTCTACACTATGAAATTAGTTGCATGACACTAATTTCACCAAAAAATCGCGCAGGGCACGAAACTAATTTGCATGCATGAAATTAATGCATGCATTACGAAAGTATTAAATTACACGTGAAACTGTTGGTAAAACTAATGTCACGAAATTAATTTCACGCCACTAATTTCGTNTTCACGTCGCGTCTACACTATGAAATTAGTTGCATGACACTAATTTCACCAAAAAATCGCGCAGGGCACGAAACTAATTTGCATGCATGAAATTAATGCATGCATTACGAAAGTATTAAATTACACGTGAAACTGTTGGTAAAACTAATGTCACGAAATTAATTTCACGCCACTAATTTCGTAATGTAAATTCGGCTTAAAGGATAGGTCGCCCAGTTCATTCAAGCGATGTTCGAATACCTATACCGGTGTTCGAATACCAATTTCTATTCTAAATTTTAGGCAGTTTCACCAATTTATTTGTATCTTATTCGGTCATCACAAAAACTACTAAACCGTTTTTAGTGAAGATTTTTATGCTGAAACTTACCACGATTTCATTTAAAAACATAATGACGATATAACAACAAACCGCCACTTTCCAAGTTCAACTACTAATATTAATTTAATTTATTCTGAAATTAACGCGGTCAGAACGGCTGACTTAGATACTTAATGAAAACGTCTTTTTGTACCAATATATTCCAGAGTATTTGATATTCTTAGCGACATTGGATCAATTGAATTTCTTTGGGGCGACTTGTTTTCATGTCGTACCAATTCTACGATCTTTGTTTTGAGAATGGCTCCCTCAGAAACCCCTTAAATACGTTTATACAAGATGCAGGTATAAAACGCAGTAAGTTAAACTTACATTAAACTGCCTATTTCCCGAGTTCCAAACAAATCCTCAGTTTCATTACGATTCCAAAACAAGTCTATATCGTGTCTGTCGTGATCCACAGCTCTTCTAAACCTTCTACCCCTGCCACCAACATCGAAATCGAAAAATATCGACATATCTTTATATCTAATAGTTTCAAAACGTTGTCAATAAACTCTAGAGGGCTTCGAAATAAAACGAATCTAGTTAAAGTATGTAATATATTACAGCCATAATTTACATCATTATATTAAATTGTACATTATCCTAATTAAATTATAGAAAATAAAATGTAAATATTAGTATGTCAAGTTTCGAGTTGCAATATTATTAATTATATTCAAATACTGATTAAAAAAAATTAAGTACATACTTCTTGAGTGATATATTTTAGAGCTGCCCGATTGCTAAAGTGAATTTTGTCGGTACCTACATTCAGTTTCATTCATTCAAAATATCTGTTTGTTGCTTTCCTTTACTTAGCGGAATTTTAAAGAAAATAAAATTTATACTCGTGTTATTATATTTTTACTATGAATAACGCCAATAAACCAAATCTCCAAATTCGTCAACTAAAAATATCCTTCATTATTCCACACATTATATCAATAAATTTCTAAATAATATGACAACCACATAAAACTAATAAAATCAGATATTAAAAACTCACTCAAAAACAAACGATATTACGGAGATTCAAATGTACAACAAGAAATCCAAACATATCCAACAAAAAAAAATTTCTCATCTATGAATGTCAAGTAAACTATAATGAAAATGTCCAAATTGTATTAAATAAAAAATAAAAACTTAGTTTCCGCAAAGAAAACTCATAACATTTACAGTTAAGACATGAAAAAATCATTAGCTTTATTATTAATTAAATAGATTTATACTTGCATACATCAGGTAAAGCAATATCTATAGTTTATATTTCAACTTAATCCTCTTTTTGTGTTAAATCACATGGAATGGGAATGATATCACATTTTTTTAATAGTACTCGGATCACAGTAAGTATGATGATGGCTCTTGAAAAAAAATTTTTACAAATTGAATTGAATTTGAATTTAAGTGGGCAGTAACTTTTTCGTATCGATTACATATCTTACCATACTGAATTGAGGGTAGTTTCGGAATTTTGTCATCATTCCCATCGTGAGCAATGAAAGCAATGAAAATAGTCAAAATATATCCTATAAATTTTTACACAAGTTCCCTCAGATGAGGGGCGGTAGATTCTTAACTCTGACCAAATGCGAGTGAGATTTAGATCGGCTGACGTTGTTCGGGGTGGTTTTCAAGGCCATTCCCGTCACCGTGTTCTGCCGTTGTAGGTTTACTTTAGTTGCGCTCAATGGAGCCCGGGGCGTCGCGAAACCGTCATTGTTCAGTTTAAGAGCCGACCGCGTTAGTCGCGTGGGTGTGTACAATAGATTATTCTTGGGCGTAACCGCCATTATGTGCTGTATATTCTCTTTGCCTATTTTAGGGGTCAGTGGCGTTTTCGTCCTCGGAGTTTTTTTTGGCGTGACCGGAGAGTTCTCTTCGATCTTTGAACAAATAATCGTGGGTAGCACGAGGCCTTCCTGCGGTTTAGGATTGGCCATCGAACTGCGACTGATCTGACGTTCGTTTATACCGTCCTGAAATGAAAATTGATAAATTAAAAAAAAAACGATTAGTGTGTATGTCAGTGTGACAGTCGTGGCTTGATTATCGTTAAAAAGTGAGATATACCTATTGGTCAAAACGAAAAGTACCCACGATATCAGCTTGATAAAAAATATATATTGATAAGTTGTATTGTAAGCAAATTGTATAATATCAAAAATCTAAATTGGACAAGCAACTTCATGAATGCACAAAAAAACGAAAGACTTCAACGATCAAATTGAATTGAATCAGCTCCACAGAGCTTATAAATTTTTAACATAATTACTGGTGGTAAGCAATGCTGTCATCAGTAACATTTTCTGTCACAAAGCGATCATGTATCCCAGTTTGAGGAGTAAGGCAGGTATTATAATGTATACTAATATTATAAATGTAAAAGTGTGTTTATTTGTTCATTTTTCATGTCGAAATGAAGCAACGGATAGACATGATTTTTTTTTAAATTATGATGATATATTAAGTCAGGGGAATTACATTGGGTAGCTTTCACCTCGAAAAAACATCTCATTACTATGAGAAGCTGTTTTATTATCTTTAGAAAAATTAATTGACACTTTCCCTTGAACACGCGAGCGAAGCCGCGAGTAACAGCTAATGCGTTATATTTGTGTCTTCATAATTCATTGCCTCAAGACGAGTGGAGGCATTGATGCTCTTATGCTTATAGTTTCCGGTAACACCATTTAGATCGGGAACCTACTTGTGAAATAACAAACAAAAATGCCCTTTAATCTTAGATTTGAATCGATATTTCGATTAATCGATCAAGTATCGATATTCAAATTTATCACATTCTGTTAATGCATAATAACTCGAAGAACGTGATCAATGAATTTTCCGTGCGATATACCGTGTCGTATACTACAATATTGTTACTATTCCAATACTAACAAAATGTATAGGCCACCGCTTCACAGATTTCGATTAACATTATCACGGATCGTACGTATGATTACATATTAAATGTTTTATTTAAGACATTACTATCATAGACATACTTTTCAGACGGAGCAGACGATATTCAATAATTCGGGACTTGTATTCAATTATAATGCAAATATAATTCGTTTAGTATCCGGCAGACAAGACCAGCTGTACAAATGCAACCTCCATAAATGCTATTGACAATGTAAACGACATTGCTATGGGTCAGCTGAGCGTGAGTAACCGCAACCACGCTGTATTACATAAATATTTAATTGTTCTAAATGATTATACTATTTATTTATATTTATTACTAGCGACCCGCCCTCACTTCGCTTCGGAAACATTAAACTTTATTATTGATTGATTGATAGGCGAAGCCCGCCATGTTGCGCACGGTACGGCAATAACTGCGGATGTAAAAAAAAGTAGCCTAAGTTACTCCTTATATTATCAGCTACCTATTAGTGAAAGTCCCATCAAAATCGGTCTAGCCGTGTCAGAACAAACAGACAAACAGACAGACAAAAATTGTAAAAAATATTATTTTGGTGTATGTACCGTATATATATTCATATGCATGTAGTAAAAAGCGGTTTTTACAATATTACAAACAGACACTCTAATTTTATTTATATGTATAGATATCAAAATGCTTGGCTATGAATTAGGAGCAAGCAGTTTGCAGTTTTTTTTTTTTAGATTTATAGTTTACCTTGAAATCAGTGTAAGTGGTTAGAAGCGTGGTCTCCATTAGCGGGTCTTTGTTCGAGATTCGTTCGTCTTCAGTTGAGCGCGTCGCGTTCATTGACTTGCGGCTGCTGCTCCGACGCTTACCGTGAGACTGGAATACATTTTTTATTTTTATTGTTGTAACATAAAACCGATCGGGTCCATAAAAAATAAAAAAAATAAAAAACAGTGAGTGCAACACCGACACGCAACTAGTCTTTAAAAGCGATTGTCATTGAATACAAAATAGGGAAAAGGGGTATTATACACAAGCATATTTTATTATATTGAACGCATGCATTTACTTTTATTCGTTGAAATACTGTACATCTCTACTAATATTATAAAGCTGAAGAGTTTGTTTGTTTGAACGCGTTAATCTAAGCTACTGGTCCGATTTGAAAAATTATTTCAGTGTTAGATAGCCCATTTATCGAGGAAGGCTATATATATATGCTATATAACATCACGGTAAGACCAATACAAGTGAAGCACCAACAAAGAATGTCTTAAAATTGGGGTTTAGATAGCTCCTTAGTATTCTATAATTCAAAAATATTTTCACTTTCTACGTAAATGAAGTGGGGGTAAAATTTAGCGTTTTGTCAAAGTAACTATTCCACGCGAACGGAGTCGCGGGCAAAAGCTACTTAATAATTAAAACACCATTTATTATGGGACGCGTATATTAATTCGACAAAAAAAGATATTCAATTTCTGCTTAGATGGCGCTAACTGATTAGACATGTTGAATTAAAATTAACATTAATCTAGTTAAAATAAGACTTTAAGCTGATATTTTTAACAGTGTTAATTAGGTAACGAATTAAGGTTGTTTTATTAATTAAAATTCAGGTAATGTTTCACGGCCTTCTACATAAAATCTTTGAACACGAACTCAAGACGCAGTCAAATGGAAATGTCAAGGACAAATTTTACCGAATTAAACACTAAATGGGGATACAATTGACTACAATTCAATTTGATATTTAAATTTTATGTGATAAAGAGGCCGTGACAACTTAACTATTTGCCTCTTAAGGTTAATCCATGGTTTGTGTGGCAAAAATTTAATTGAAAATAATAATGTGCTTCCAATAAGATTGTGACTAATACGGATTTTACTAATTCACTGAAGCTTTTTTTTATGATTGAAGGATTAGAGGTGACCTGGAGGCCTTTCCAGTTTCACCTGGACAGGTGGGCGAGCAAAGGCTCAGCCAGGAGGGTGGGATTTACTAACAGCTACCCGAGCGCCTCCGGAGGAGACCTAACAACTCAAGATGAACTGCTTTGAGACTAAATCTAAAAATAGTACCTAGTCGAGCGGGCTCACAAAACTCCCTACGATCACTTTAAAGTAAGGTCAGGCGAAATAAAAAACAATGAAAAGATGCATGTATAATATTTAGAATATACTTACGGTACGCTTATGTTTTAAAATACTGCCGTTGACTTTTGGTGTTTTCTTCCCTTCGTTTCCATAGTCGAGCTTCCTCTTGGCATGGTCACCCTTACCCTCGACTACCGCTCTGGCCGCCAAACGACCACTGATACGCCTGCGATCAATATTTATGAATAAATAATCAAGGTTAGCAGATATTAGTCACTCAACAATCACTAAAAACAACACTTGATAATTATTGTGATAATTATAAGGTGGTAATAATTAAAAAATCTTAATTTACTAGTACTTTTTATCAGTTATTACGAAATTGTTATAAATTAATAATAATTCTAAACTAATTTTCATGACAACCATAGCTTTTTCAATTTATGATAGTTCTGAATATGAATTGTGGGTGTAATTCTAAAAGTGAAAACTGTTCAATTGTGATTGTGAAAACTGTGTGCTAATAAAAATTACGATTTCAAGCCAGAATGAGATGAAGAAATGGTTGTTTACAGATATATACATATATATATATTCTGCATTCTAATAGGCTTATATCAATAAATTTTTAATTTGTTGTATAATAAAAAACAAAACAAAATTTAATTGTTGTTATAAGAAATCTTTTTAGTTTTATACACAAATTTCGGGAGTTATCACCACCGTAGCACCACCCTCAGGTATTTTATTTGCATTACAAAAAAACCAACAAATTACTGGAAAATGGACCTAATGCAAAAAATTTCATAAACATATGGAAGGCATTCCACGCAGATTAGAAAAACACGTAGATGTTTTCTCACAATCTGCTACGACCTCTAATCACGAGAAAAACAATGAACGAGAAAGTACCTAACGATTGTTTGACCACTGACGTCGTCTCTGAAGTTAGACTATTCAAACTTAAAAAAAACATTAACCAATCTTGGACAAACATAAGAGACATACAGCGAAACTTTAAATGTGATGGCTTGTATTATTTATCTAAAAATATAAGTAACCTGGGTTACAAAATTTTCCCTTTCGAATTATCTACAATTGTTAAGAGTTTATTATTATTCACATTTTTGACTAAAAATTGCCATTCTAGCATCATCTATACATACAAACATTAATCAGATAACTAATGAAACATCCTTCCACGATCATATTTATAAACTCAGTGTGACAAATTTTAGGAAAGAGGGTCTTATAAAGATTGATCGACTGTGTAAAAGAAGATATGCATGAGAAAGTTGAGAATGCATTAATGGTGTATGATAGGTCTGAATGGAAGCGACCCCACACAGCAGGGTAAGGGCAAAGAAGGAAAGGAAGACTATTACAATTTTTTGTCTACACTGTAATTAGAATGTTTCAAACGTATTCGTAGTTCTTTTTTTTATTGCATAGATGGGTGGACGAGCTCACAGCCCACCTGTTGTTAAGTGGTTACTGGAGCCCATAGACATCTACAACGTAATGCGCCACCCACCTTGAGATATAAGTTCTAAGGTCTCAACTCTTAAGTATAGTTACAAAGGCTACCCCACCCTTCAAACCGAAACGCATTACTGCTTCACGAAAAAAATAGGCAGGTTGGTGGTATCTACCCGCGCGGACTCACAAGTGGTCCTACCACCAGTAAATTTATAATGCAAAAGAAAACAATTAATAATAAAATATATGTTCATATATAATATGAGATTCCCTAAAACAGAGCTTGGATGAAACTCTAAGTTTAATTGTGTTTAAAAATTTTTATTACTGTCAGCTTCTATTACACATCAAAAAGCAATACTAGTAATTCACTAAAGCAATCAAAATAGAACACAATAAAACGCTAATTGGTAAAATGCACGCTCATTTTAATCGACAACAAAAACTACTTAATGCAATTTGCGAGCCTACTTTTAAAACAATATTATGTAACGTTGTAATTACTATACATAAGTGTTACAAGTACAATATTTCTCATTCCCTCTACATTACGAAATATAATTTACTTAGTATCATTTTTTTTTTCTTCGTTTTATACCTGTCAATAAAACTTGCCTTAGTCATAATGATGTAATTTATAATCGTATTTTGCTGTACTGTGTTAAGTCACAAACGTGCACTGAAATTATAAAGAAGGAATGAAAGATATCATAACTATCAATAAATATGTAATAATAAGAATTTATGGAAAATCGAAAATGATTGAATGTAACCGAAGTTTTTTTATTTATTGCTTAGATGGGTGGACGAGCTCACAGCCCACCTGGTGTTAAGTGGTTACTGGAGCCCATAGATATCTACAACGTAATGCGCCACCCACCTTGAGATATAAGTTCTAAGGTCTCAAGTAGAGTTACAACGGCTGCCCCACCCTTCAAACCGAAACGCATTACTGCTTCACGGCGGAAATAGGCAGAGTAGTGGTACCCACCCGCGCGGACTCACAAGAGGTCCCACCACCAGTAATAAATTGATTATTGTTTATTGAATTTTAACAGAAACGTGTAAGCACTGACCACCAATGCAATTGGCCCAGACCGTACTAGCGCATACCGATACCGAGCGGAAACGAATCATTTAAAAAAAATGTGTGCGTGTACTAGTGTACACACGTAAGAAGTGAAACTTATTTATGGCCTTATTTTTCGAAAAATGATCTACATGCAACTTTCTAGAAATTGGTTAAATAAAGTTAAATTAGATAAAGTTTAAACAAAAGGATTTTATTATCATAGACATGAATACAAAAAAGTTAAATTAGATAAAGTTTAAACAAAAGGATTTTATTATCATAGACATGAATACAAAACAGATGGCGCGTAACGGAAAAATGTGACGCGTAACCGAAAAATGTGACGGTAAATTTTTTTCCAACGCCGATAAGGAAGTTTCACTTCAAAAAGAAAAACTTAAAACCTTATGATTCAATTCATTTAGAATCATTAATTGAGAATCTATGAACAACAAATTCTTCGGTCTCACAAAAAAAAGAAACATTACGTCACAAACATGAAACACCTGAATACCCTTTCGAAAAGTTACCAGTTGTAAAATGTACAAAATTAGGTAAATGAATTTTGGGCACATAATCCAACTGGCTAAGGTTAGTGGATTCGGATGGATTAAATGCGCCGGCAACACTGAGACATGAAGCCAAAACTTCAATTGTGGTAGACTTATGACTAATTTAGATTGGTTTGCAACATAAACAAGTACTAAAGTTAGGGTTCGGCTGACAATAAGCAGTCAAGTTGTTGTTAGTACTTTAGGGAAGATCTACTTTACTACAATAAAAGCATAACAAGTGACGCCCCACAATACCATGAAAGCATAACAAATGAGGCTCGAAATATTTCAAAACTTAAACCCTTAAGTCATCAAACATTCTTTTATAACAACATTAACAACCGTAAAAGAATTTCCACATTTATACTTTTTTCATTTTCCCTTATTAGTTTATAAGCCGTAATTACTGTTACGCGTTATAAGCAACGAGATTATTATGATCAAATATATACATATATAACTGTTATGAATCGCGGCGCACACTTATGCAACGCGCGATTAGTTGAGGGCGCGTGGCGAGACCGCTCGCAAAGGTACCGTAATTTTGCTTCGAAATCATCATACGTTCCGGTTTGAAAGATGAGATGATCTTATACAACTGAGTCTTCTACTTCGGGACTGAGGATGTGTTGCAGTCACCGTTTACCACGAAGCGGACTGGCTATGAGCTCTAAGGCGAAAGCAATAAAAACGCTTTTTGCAAATATTTTAGAATGAGAATTTCGCCTTTATACATATTTATCAAATTGTGCCATCATCTAATTTTACATATTAGTAAATAAACTAGGCCGGTCGACAGGTGTAAATTTATCTATTATAGCTGTATCCGTCTGCTTCTCTGGGCATTTAAAATTAACATTATTATTTCTCACCCCACAAAGATTCTCGTCATTAACGCCCCCGCAACTGGTGTAGGGAGTTCAACGCTCATATAAATATTAGCCTATCCATTAAGTACATGTCTTTTCTACATGGATACCAAGTTTCAAGTCAATCGGATGCATAGTACACTAGTTATAACGGAACATCCGTAAAAACCACTGTAGATTTATATATTAGTATAGATATAGATTTCTGTTTATTGAATACGTGTAAAATGTATGTATATCTTTATATATTATAGAACGGAAGGAAACAAAATTATTTAGATAAATTACATAAGTTAATGTAATATGTGTTCCAGTTTGCACTAGTGAATTGATAAAAGTTTGAATCAATTAACGACTAATATTATTAGCTTTAGAAAGTGTTCAGTTTTAGATTGTCCGGACCGTGGTATTGATTGCGAAAATAAACAAACGATCGGGGACAAGGCACGCGCGGTCATATGAGCCCAAAAAAAGATTCCCTGTCCTATCGGAATCATAGACATTTATGTATATATATATACTTAACTTTTACCGGTGGTAGGACCTCTTGTGAGTCCGCACGGGTAGGTACCGCCACCCCGCTTATTCCTGCCGTAAAGCAGTAATGCGTTTCGGCTTGAAGGGTGGGGCAGCCGTTGTAACTATACTGAGACCTTAGAACTTGTATCTCAAGGTGGGTGGCGGCATTTACGTTGTAGATATCTATAGGCTCCGGTAACCACTTAACATCAGGTAGGCAGTGAGTTTTTCCACCCATTTTTTAAGCGGGTTGGTGGTACCTATCCGTGCGGGCAAGTCGTCCTACCACCAGTAATTACGCAAATTATAATTTTGCGGGTTTGATTTTTATGACACAATGTTATTCCTTCACTAGTGGAAGTCGATCGTAAACATTTCGTAAGTACGTATTTCATTACAAAAAATGGTACCCGCCAGCGGGATTCGAACACCGGTGCTTCGCTAGATACGAATGCACCGGGTGTCTTATCCTTTAGGCCACGACGACTTCAAATGGTCTCAATTACAAGGTCTAGCTGCTTTGACCCTTCAAACACATAATTGCTGAGCGATAGGGACAGGCTTGTGGTACCTACGGTGCGAAGTCACAAGATCAACAGTATATACATTTAAATATGTTCGTAGCAAGAACGTTTGCCCGAATCGAACCCACGACACTCGACCCAGTAGTGAGGGCGGAGTAACACCTAACGTAGTCTACGACTAGTAAAATGTCCAAAAAACAAATTAAAAAAAAAAAACCTAATGACACTAGTACTGTCTGGGTTCAATGATAGACTCAAATTAAAACATTAATAAAAGATTTTAAACGCTTTCTTAAGTTTAAAAAAAAAACTCTAATCACACTACTACTGTCCGGGTTCAATGATAGACTCAAATTAAAACATTATAAAAAAATAAAAACTTTTTCTTAAGTTAAAAAAAAATATATAAGGCACAGATTATCATCGCTTACCTCTTGACAGTTGTAATAGCAGATCTTTTGAAGGCAGACAGGTTGTTGGTGAACGTGGTGACCGCTTTCGTGGCGCTGCCCGTGATGAGCTGCCTCTTCGTCGGAGGCCTATACGTTATTCGAAAGAACTGTTTACTGTCAGTGTCTACTCACTCAGTCTACTTTAAATGGTGTTTGTTATATCGCACCTTTACAATCGAAGTGACTTAAACCAAAATTCTTGTTTTTTGGTAAACGCCAAAAATGTTATTGAAGAATTGTAATGTTTATAATTTGCGTGATTATTGGTGGTAGGACCTCTTGTGAGTCCGCACGGGTAGGTACTACCACCCCGCCTATTTCTGCCGTGAAGCAGTAATGCGTTTTTATTTGAAGGGCGGGGCAGCCGTTGGAACTATACTAAGACCTTAGAACTTATATCTCAAGGTGGGTGGCGCATTTACGTTGCAGATGTCTATGGGCTTCAGTAACCATTTAATACCAATTGGGCTGTGAGCTAGTCCACCCATCTAATATTGATTGACACATGGGGTTATTCTATTGACTAATAAAAGCAAATTCTAGGGCGTTTGTAAGATTAACGTTAATTATATCGAGTAAACCCACACATTCAATCTCCAGGGGAAAAATGAACTTGCTGCCTACTGCTAGGGACTTTCTTTTGTTGAAAGAAACTTGCCATAGCATTGTGGAAGCATAGACAGTGATTATGAATTTTAAGGCGCCGTGGCTTAAAATAAGACGTATTTGCGTAATTGCTGACGGTTGGATGTAGTGGAGCCTGTATTGATATGTAGAGATACGTCAAGCCGGCGGTCGGTGGAATTAACGTAGTGATATGTCTATGAGCTCCGATGATCGCTTGGATCGGATGTGACGTATTCGAGTGGGTAAGTGACAGTTACTTGTTACTGTCGGCGGTGTGCAAGCCGGATGTGACGTATTCGAGTGGGTGAGTGATAGTTACTTGTTTCTGTCGGCGGTGTGCGCGAGGCCGGCGGCGGTGCGGTTCCGCTTGCCGAGCGGCGACGTGGCCAGCGAGCGCAGCAGCGGCGTGGTGGGCGTCAGCGCCTGCTTGCGGGCCGACAGCTTGTTGTGCCGCTCCTGTACAGGGACACGTTTCAATTTTTTTTCCTACCTAGCTGAGAGCCTTGAGAGGCTATTTCAGCGTAACCTTAACTAGTAGGTGAGCCCACGGGGCTCAAACCTGACGACATTGCTAACACGAACCCTAGCAAGAGTCGTGCTTCGTAGAATCTACCACCGGATCGGAAACGCGACCCACTGAGAAGATCCGGCGAGAAACTCAGTGGGCTGTGTCTAAGGGTTAATTTACTCGTCGAGCCCTTCGTCGCTAGCGACGGGTTCGACGGGAACGATAACCGGAAAGGGATACGCTCCACGTTCAATCAACCAACGTAACTCTAGAATCAATTCTCTCGTGTGGTATACCAGAACGATATTTTAAGGTAAGGAATGTCAGAACCAGAACGATTTCAATAAAATTGTATTTACAATAATTATTATTGATTTTATTTACAGAGATGGGCATTTTGAGTGTTCATGCCTGATTTCTGCAGATTGCTAGTTAACAGATATTTATCTTTTAAAATTTCATTTGTTAATGACTTTCTTGCGATTCCGAACAGCAACTATTAAGTCAACAAAAAATACAACACAGGACTAAGGAAAAACAATCATAAACTTTTTTTTTTTATATATTTAAAGTTTTGTTACAACACTTACCGCCTTTCGAGCTTCCCACTCGTCTTCCATTAGTTGCAACAGGGGTTTACCATCAACAGTAAAGGTAGATCCTGTCTTGGCTTCGTACTCAGATACCAATTCCCTTAACTGTGCTTCTATTTTGGGAAGCTAAAACGAAATAATAAAAATTACTTACTGTCTACTGGCAAACTAATAATAATTTTTATTAAAATGCAACCTACATGCTTCATAGCATAGTATTCAAAAACTATATGAACCACTTTTATATCTTTGACTGAAATTGATTAATGTGAACTAATATGGTACAAACATATCAGCAATACCTGTATTACAGACCACCTTAAAGGTTTCTCCTTAGCTTTAGGTCTTGACTATTAGACCGTGCAGTGTGTTTTAAACAGAATATTTAAGGAAACTTTGCAACTTCAGATATTAGTGTGATATTAAGTAACAAAAAAAATACAGTTAAGACAGGGAGGAGTTGTAGTGAAGTAACCGAGCCCTTAATCCTAACGAAAATCAAACTATTATATGATGGAATATTAAAAGCTAACTAACATTGCTAGCAATAGCTTTTCTTTCTTTCTCTTCTCGTAGCAGTTGTCCACCTCGGTTGTGGTAGCGGCCAGGCTCGGAAGCTCTCGCCTCTAACTCTGTCATCTTCAGCCACAGATTCTTGCGTGTCAGCACCAAATCAAATATATTCCTTGTAAAATAAAAATATGATTTAATCTAAATCATGTCTCTACAAGGAGAGTAATGGTTTAGATTTTCTTATTATTACAGGCAGTAAAACAGATAGATAGGAGGGAAAATAATACAATACTTAATAAAGCACTTCCAGATACTACAGAGCACAAGAAAAACAACTCACTTATTTTCATTGTAAAATTTAGTTATCTTTTCAAGATATAATTCGTGTAGAGTGAGGGTGTCCTCAGTGAAAATATCCTGGTAGTAATGCACAAACTCCTCACGCTCATCTGTCGAGTACATCACATTGTCCCACATCAACTTGATCTTCGTACGTACATTCGCCACAAACACCTAAACATAAAAGATATTCTATAGACAATAGACATAAAAATATTTTTGAATCTATCATCATAGTTGGTTGCTCATCAGAGCAGTCGTGGTCATGTGGAATTCTTGTTTATTAAAGCCTTGACAGATGTTTTCTATACTTTGCGAACTAAGGCTTGGCACACACTTTGAATCCATAATGAATTCTAAAAATAAAATTATATTTGAAAAACTTATGAACCTTTACTTTATACAACTTGGCTAATGAAACTTAAGCATATTTGAAAAAATCAGTATTGTTCCTTTAAGTATTGTTATATTTATTTACATTTTAATATACCAACAGCTTCTGTCCAACAAAAAATACCTGAATTTTCTGCCGTTTGATCTGTTCACATCTCTTGATCTCCTCTTTGATAGCAGATTCAGTCTGAGGGTGACAGCCAGGATGAGCATGAAGGAAGTTCTCTCTGTATATCTGATCTTCATCAAGACAATCCCACAACTTGGATAGTTTTTCACGAAGCTCCAGCACCTTTATTTAAAAGATTATTTAGAAGAAGAGAATAAGACTAAATTCTATTCTAGTATTTAAAAATTAAATAAAATGCTACCATGTTACTTGTTTCATGTACAGTTTTAAAGCTTATGCAGAGTTTATTTTACTGATTAACTTAACACAATGGTGATAAAAAACTAAAGTAGATTTTTTATAATTATTATATTACAATAATTTTCAAACCATGCCATTAAAATTTTAGATTAAAATGTACTACAAATATAAAATGCGTTACAATGTAACTAGCAAATTATAAGACATTTTTTTTTTCATAGCTGATATAGTTTATAGTGTTGAGTTATTTTATATTATTAATTGAATTACTGAAAGTGAGGGATGGTGAAGCATGGAGGGATGGACTTACCCTGTTATTAGTCTGCTCAAATTTCTCCTGCAAATCTTGTTGAAGTTTGGCGAGGCGATCCATGTTTAGATCTGTTACTTTAAAATCCACTGATAAAGATGAAGTTACTATATGTTCAAACTTATTATGTGGCTTTATTTGTAGTTTTTCTGAAATTCATGAAAGAAACCCATATCATTCACCATCAATATTTCCTCATTATCTAAAAAAACTAGAAACAAAATGTTAGGCTCACATTAAGTTGATCTAATATTTAAAAAAAACAAGTTTATTATACACAACAATCACTCATCCATATGAACATGATATTAACAATAAATTTCTTCAAACCATGTAGCTTACCCATAATATCTTTGACTTCAACTTGAACATTTAAGAATATCTCCGCTCTCTTATCTCTTTCAGCTTGCAATTTCTCCAGATGATCCTTTAATCTATCAAGCTCTTCTTCAGAGGGGAGTGGTATTTCTTGAAGCTCATGGATTGTAACGCCCAGCTTGTCTACAAGGTCTCTCTGCCATTCTAAAAGCCGTTCCATCTTCATACGACGTTGTTCAACTTGTTCTCTATAACTGTATAGGAACATAGATTTTTTATAAATATATATTATTCTTTCTATTTCTGATTTAAGTTACAAGTACTATGAACACTATTGAATTGAATGAATGAGTAAATGTTATCTAGGTAAATTGGAATAAAAACTAGTACTATGATCAACATACCCAGAGATTTGTTCCTCTAACTCTCTCTTATATTCAACGAGCATCATTTCCTCTTTGAAATCCAATATGGTGATGTCCACCGATAAACATCTGCTAAGTTCTTCAGTTTCCTCTTTAAGTTCTACAATAAAATTGTATATTTAAGTATAGAAACAATTATGACATTGATACAATCAGTATTTTTAGCATTGAGTGTTATATTATTATATAACCACTCCAATTTTCAACATTCAGTCTATTCCAGTAGATATCAGTGAAATCCTGCAACTCTTACTGGTGAAAAAAAATGAAATGAAACTCCTTTTACTGGTGGTAGGACCTCATGTGAGTCCGCATGGGTATGTACCACCACCCTGCCTATTTCTGCCGTGAAGCAATAATGCGTTTTGGTTTGAAGGATGGGGCAGCTTTTGTAACTATACTTGAGACCTCAGAACTTATGTCTCAGGGTGGGTGGCACGTTTAAGTTGTAAATGACTATGGGCTCCAGTAACCACTTAACACCAGGTGGGCTGTGAGCTCGTCCACCCATCTAATCAATAAATTAAAAATAAAAAACTCCTCCAAATACACTTCTACAGCAGATTATACATTAAGCTATTCATAGTTTGAATACTATATGGTGTGGTGCTGAGCACAAAGTTTGTTGTATTGGTGAAAGTTTGATGTTATGGTACAGAAACTCTGAGATGATTTCATAGTTAAAAGTAATAGAAAAACTATCAAGAGTTGTAGTTAAATTCAGTTGACATTAATTTAACTTAGTTTAGAGCACAGGCTTGCATTTTACCAACTAAAATTATATAGTACAAGCTTATTCTACTGTAAATTCAGAGTGATTGATTTTCAATTGTTAGCTTGCTTAAAGAATCACTAAAATAATTGCATGATTAATGCTGTTTGGTATCTAGGTGTTCTACTGATTTTGTTGGATAATCTTTTATCAAGAATGAAAAGAGTATTTGATTATTTTTTGTTGTATTTTACAATTAAGCAATATGATGACAGATGAGTCTTGTGTTTGTTGCCCAGAAGAGGACTCAACCTTTCACCATCCATGATGACTAATACTGAAAGCTTCTCTATATAGGTCTATGGGAATTAAATTTTTAACTGTGAGGTTTTCGTTTCTAGATATTTTCAAGATAAATTGCACTTCTAACATTCATCGAGCTACCAAAAATATTGAACACATAAAAAAATTATTACAATACTATTTTCCAAAATGTATTTATATAGATAATGTTATTGATATACAATTCTACTAAGTGGAAGGAATGGCTGTTGGATTTATTGAAAATATCTTACTTCTAGTTTAATTAAGTAACGTTTTAATGCAGCAAGCAGTGTAATCAGCTTTTGGTAAATTAGAGAAAGAACTGTATCTAATATTTTGCACACAAAACAGTAAAGCATAAAACAATTCAAAACAACAGACACTAAGTGAAAACAAGACTTGTGAAAGGGGAAGTGTTCATGTGAGTGCTAATAGTGAAGTACCTACTACATAAATTATGAGTAACTTACTATCGACTTGTCCCTGCATGATTTTTAATTTTTGTCTGGTCTCTGAGATCACATCTCGGTGGAGTTCTTTCTCGATTTGAACGAGTTTTGTTATGTTATTTATTTTGGTGCTATCATCAACACCCAAATGGGACCAGTTTAACCAGAGCTCCTCCATCATTTCACGGATGTTATTAGAAATCTCCTGTAGGACTTCATTGCTGTAAAATTAATATTTAAAACCAATGAAGGATGGTTTTGTAGTTCCTACTATTGTTTTCGTGGTGTTTTCTACTCTTAATATTATTCGTTAATTAACTCAATAGCTCAAAATCATGGATTTCTAAGTAGTAATAAGTCATCGGCAATTATTTGTGGATCTGCTTAGAAATAAACAGTGCATATTGTAGTTGAGGGATAATTTATATTTTTCTTCTTTTCCATTAACGAAACATATGTGATTTCTAAGACAGAATTGAATCTTTAATTGCTTTGGAATAAAAATTTAAATGACAGAAAAATCCGTTATTGATCAGGCCCGATTACGCCTAACCTTTGATGATATGTGAATTGTATAACTTTGTACAAAATCAAAATCTTTTTACCAACCGCAAACATACTCAACAGATTGATAATTAAACATAATTCTTGTTAAACGTAGAGTGGGAAACCTTAAAAAAACTTACAACAACTTGTTCACGTCTTCTGTAAATGTAATCATTTTTAAACCTAAGAAACACGAAAAACTTCTTCACTATTAAAACACTGCAACGCTTCTTTTTATCGATTTTACTCAAATATTAGAAAACACTGGCTATAAATTAATAAGTCACACAGATACAGCCACGGGACGTTTGTTTTCAAATTTTCAAAACGTTAAAATCAAGCGACCGTATTATCGCTCTGATTGGTTCTTCACAGACCGCAACCATTGGCTACTAGATTTCGTTCAGAAATATATTTAAAAAATAACACTCTTACAGCTAATTTTGGTTCATCAAATTTTAATATATTATTAGATATGTATATAACACGATAAATACACGATAAACTTATTTTATAAAGATAAGAAAAGCAGATATAACTTAAGCAAGCATCATTAACGTGATATAACGTATTATTAGTGAACCCGCGCTATTTATTTGGCAATAACAATTGAACAAATTCAACCTCAACAAATACCTACGAGAAGTCGTTTATAAACATTTATACAGATTTACACTATTTATGAATAAGGCCAATCAATAATCCAGTAATCTGCGTTGCGGACTTTTTGGCGGGAACGCGAAGTGTAGGTAATGAATTGTTTTAGTAACAACACTAACAACTCACATAATTTTACGTTTCTTTAAGTTTGAACATGTAATTAAGTGTCTTGTGTATTCTTTTACCTGCTTTACTAACTAGGAAGAGTTTTGGGATTTGGTAATGGGTTAAGATTAATTTAAGTAACATCTAGAAAGTTTGTAAAAATTGCTGCACCGGTTCCTTATGAACATACAGCTTCATTGCAGAAATAGTCCGGATCACAAGATGACCTACCACTAGTATTTTTTTTTATTTTTTATTAGTTAGATGGGTGGACGTGCTCAGAGCCCACCTGGTGTTAAGTGGTTACTGGAGCCCATAGACATCTAATACGTAAATGCGCCACCCACCTTGAGATATAAGTTCTAAAGTCTCAGTATAGTTACGACGGCTGTCCCAGCCTTCAAACCGAAACGCATTACTGCTTCACGGCAGAAATAGGCAGGGTGGTGGTACCTACCCGTGTGGACTCACAAGAGGTCCTACCACCAGTAATTACGCAAATTATAATTTTGCGGGTTTCATTTTTATTACACGATGTTATTCCTTCACCGTGGAAGTCAATCGTGAACATTTGTTGAGTACGTATTTCATTAGAAATATTGGTACACGCCAGCGGGTTTCGAACACCGTTGCATCGGTAGATACGAATGCACCAGACGTCTTAACTTTTAGGCCACGACGACTTTAAAGTAAGTAGTAAGTAATTAGTAAACAATTATGCAAATTATATTTTATTGTTATGTATAATTTTGATTTTTATTTTACGATCTTATTCCTTCACGCGGAAGTAATTTGTTAAGTACGTATTTCAACAGAAGAATTGATACCTGCCTGCGGGATTTGAACACCGGCACAGTCCCATCGCTAAATACTACACAACATCTTCTAGGTTATACTTATTCCAGATAAAAAGAGGCATAATTAAATTTAATTAGTTTAAAAATGTCACTAACATAGTGCTACTTACTATCTTCATTGATCTCGGACAGTACCAGCCGTAGTCCATATGAACTCAAGGTCAGACAGATGTCATCGTTCCATCTTTTTGGCGGGTTTCTGTCCTTTAACTATCACAGGTAAAATTGCCTACTTTATTTATTGTCACTGCAGTGTAGCATGCGCCCCGTACAAAGCCATTTCTGAAGGTCAATAAGTTCGACAAATAAATAAGCAGCTTTATTTTAATTTCTTATTTCCGTATTTCTTATTTTGTCTCTGATATTTACTCTGTGCTCCTTGACATTTAACAAGCTTATTTTTGTATAAGTCGATAAAAGTATGTACATGTCTTGTAAATACATTTTATACTGGTTGTAAGAACTGCAAGCCCGCACGGCTAGGTTCTATCTTAGATATTTCTACTACCAAATAATTATGGGTTCTGGTTTGAAGGATTAGGAAAGCCATTATACCTTACAACCAAGATTTATATCTCACATCGTAAGGTGGATAGTGGCATCCATATTGTGATGATTACGTATTCCGATAACCACCTAACAGCTTTACGCATTAAGTAAATAAAAAATATGCAGGTAAAAATACTAGAAATGAATATCCTCGATAACTCTCATTAATTTATTAGACGTGAGAGCGCTCGAAGCAATTTATTCTAAACACATGTCCTCTTATTTATACAAACATATTTAAACCTATTCGAAGCTTTTTTCTATTCCTTTCTCAATCGACCTCAAATTTTTAATTAAAATTTAAAAAAATCAATTCCTTTTGCCATTAAATTTGACACAATAAAAAACGAGCACTCGTTACTATCAGTAGGCAGCTACATTATTTAACAACAGATAATCGCGTTACGAGCATTAACTGGCAAAAATCATCGTCACACGTCATTATGTGGCAACATTCGCGATGTACGTAATACCTACACGATGGCTTGCATTCTTGCAATACACGGGACAAGTGGAGCGAACAAATGTTTGTGAATACAGAGCAAACGCTAATTGACAGTTGTGTACGCGCATTAATTACTTTGATAAATCTCAGAGGATTTATTAAGAAACACGGTACATTGTTTTGAAATCAAGAAGATTATTTACAAAATTCGTTGATGCAATTCTTTAGCCATTTTAGTGCTGATTGTTTTTGACCCTAAAGATCACAATTGTCTGAGAAAAGTTTTATAAAAATTAAAAGTTCACCGGTCAAAATTAATAAAGCTATTAGCGTTTTGGTTTCATGTTAGACACAGAGAGCACTGCGTATTTTGCACAATGACGACGATATTCAAGCGCGTTATGCAAATTTTTTACGAATACGTGCGTTGCGGGACAACCGTACCCACAGACAGCCCGCTGAGTTTCTCGCCGAATCTTCTCAGTGGGTCGCGTTTCCGATCCGGTGGTAGATTCCGCGAAGCACTGCTCTTGCTAGGGCCAGTGTTAGCACCACTCCGGTTTGAGCCCCGTGAGCTCACCTACATGTTAGGGCGAAGCTGAAATAGCCTCTCAAGGCTATCAGCAAAGGTAGGAGAAAAAAAAAGGGACAATGATAGAGCACGCGTTTTCTGCCTCCCTGTTGGATAAGTAGTTACTTCAATTTACTATTTGAACATAGTAATCATGTTTATAATAAACTCGCATTGTTACTAGCATCCGTACGTAACCATGCTCGCCAAAGTTTAAAAACTTTACTCGCTTCTTAATTCCTGCCTTGAGCAATAAATAGGGAGTGCTGACCATGCACCAGCTGGCACTATATCCAATTCTGCTTGGAAGCAATAATAGGTTTCGATTTGAAGGGCACGAGATACGTACCAGCTCTTTTTCTCTTTTTTTTCCCTACCTATTCGCTGGTAGTCTTAGAAATTATTACAGCTACGCCGGGATGGGTGGCTGAGCTAACAGACTCTACCTGAGAGAATTTGCTAACAAGAGCAGTGCTGCGCTGAATCTACCGCTGGATCGGAATCGCGACCCACTGAGATCCGGCGAGAAACTTGGGCCGGCTTGTGTCTATGGGCTAGTTCGCATGTCGAATTCTTTATCGGAGTCGACGAGTTCGACGAGGACGGTAACCTGTGCTTGAAAACCCTAAAACACCGAGAGTGCATCCGGGGGATCGCAGGATTAGTAAGTCTAATTGATTTTATAACCAACTAGCTGACCCGGCAGACTTCGTAGTGCCTCAATCGATGAATAAAAGACCTAAACTTCTGTATAAAATAAAATTAAAACAAAAAAAAAGGAATTCGTCCGACGGGGGACACATCAAAGGAAAAACAAAATTGTTGTTTTTATTTAATTCCGACCGTTTTCATATTTATCTACCTTTTAAACCTTCTCTGGACTTCCACAAATAATTCAAGACCAAAATTAGCCAAATCGGTCCAGCCGTTCTCGAGTTTTAGCGAGACTAACGAACAGCCATTAATTTTTATATAATAATATACTTTATATAGATGTAACTTTGAACAATAAATATTGATTTGGAATCATTTAATATTGCGCCGAAATTACGTTCTTATACACTTTTAGAAAAATATTAGTTTTCATTACAAATAGATACGCCGGAGTTCATTTTACATACCAACATTTACGTACTAAAATCATTTACTATTCAACACGACACACAAATCCACTTTCGTCGTACAATCCAATCTGCCTTCAATAGAATATGTTCGACGAATACTTCACTGTATTTTATTGTGTACAGTATAGAATTAAGAATTGCCATTTACATAATCGAATCAAGTGTGCTCTCTTTATTGACGCAACGTACCTAATACATAATACTAGACATGAACATGTTTTAAACAAAATTCAATACGTCAATTTCTTAATTACATAATAAAATTCTCATCTCGCCTATAAAAGATATGTCTTCATAGTCATCAGCCCATATTTATCAACTGCTCATCATAAAATACTGAGCATCATAGAAATTTCTCCAAATAAAAGATAAAGTAACACTTGGATTTTTTTTTGTTGGTCAGGAGGAATCGCCTGACTTCCGGCCTCCACTGGGGATGGTGGGCAGGATATGTCGGAGTCAAACTGACTAAAACCTCCTGTCGCTCAACAATGCACGTCCGAACCTCGCATGAGACAGAACTCATGAAAAGACAAGGGGGCAAAGTGAAACGTTTAGTGCGGAGCACATCTCTCCCATCACCTTCCTCCTTCGCCGGACCGGCGGTCATCAGCGGCACGACCACAAGCACTCGGTCGGCAGGCTCTCCGAAACCCGCCTAGATGGCGCCGGTTAGAATGGGTTATTCTACGGAATACCCTGCTGGGTCAGAACCAGCGTGGGTTGAGGATAGCCGGCGGCCTTGCGTCAACCGGATGCTCTTGCGTAAAACGCGCGTAGAGCAGCTTGCACGTCGTCTTCTTAGGCCCCCCTCGTCGGTCCCCAGACCGACATGTGAGGGGGCCCCGAAACACTTAGAGGGCCAGGGGTTGGGCGAGATCCGCCTCCCTAGCCTCCACTCGACGGCGGCGGGCTTGTGCGT